CCGGACAACCAATATTCCAATCAGATTGATATATTGGTTTTATTTTATATATTGGTCAGTTCACTGTTGGAAGAGTTCGTGATAGTCGTTCTTACCGAAGCACTGAAACTAGTAACGGTCATGGATCAGATCATGTTATGGTTCGAGCCAAGATTCGTATAAAAGTCGTAAGAAACAGTCCTTAGATCTTTCAATTCTCTCAAATTCTCAAATTAAAGATCCGGGAACGATAAGCGCATTTCAAACCGCATTATTGAAACACCTCAGTGAAATGAACGTCGATGCCATCTCTGGAAATGATACTGGTCCCAACTAAACACATGTATACAAAGTCAGTCACTTGCACACTAGGGTATACTAGTGGAAGTGCGCTAGTTGGGTGTCGGAAGCAACTGTCCAACTGTCTGAAAAATTTGCCAAAGAACGAATATCAGCGATCCTGGCTATCACGTGTGTTTGCTTCGAAGAATTATAACTACAGCAGCACGGCCGAACAAAAATTGCTGTTGGAGTGAAATGGTCTTGAGAATAGAGACGGCGGCTCGAATAGGTGACAATAGGAAACTGTTTCGCCTTCTCCGCAAAACAACTATAATTCGAGAAGGAGTCAGTGAAATGATACGGGATATTAATGGGGTGCCTATTAAAGCTGTTAAGGATCGCATCAGAGGATGGAAAGAATTTTTTGAGGCCAAATTTGATGCATCATCTGTTATTTATTCTGAATATAACTGATTTGCTTCTTACATTTGCAGTTGTCAATAGAAAAGGAAATAATCTCTGTAATCCATAAACTTATGGGGAATAAAACTCTTGGAGAAGATGGCCTTCGGGCCGAACTCTTCAAATGTTGTCTATTATCGTTCATAAATCACCTTCAACAAATGTATGGCAAATGTATTCTCTGGTATGGCAAAAGGAAATAATACCAGAAGACTGGAACAAAGCAATCCTGCTTCCAACCTAAGAAAGGTGATAGGAAATGCTGAGACAATTACCGAAGAATCAGCCTACTGGACATCAGCGGAAAAATTTTCGCTTCCATTCTGCTAAATAGACTCAAGGCACTACGGTATAGCAGAATACGTCCTAATCAAGATAAATTCAGATCGGGACACAGTTGTATTGACCAGATATTCATGCTAAAAAGAGTACTGGAACATCGCTTCAAATACCAACAATCCACTGCCACTTGCTTTATCGATTTTGCACCTGCTTTCGATTCGATTGATAGAGTAGCGCTCTGGAATATGATGGAATGCGACGACAAGAAGATCATTGGACTCATAAAGGCATCAATATACAGTGGCACATCTGTATACATGGGGAAGTGAAAAACTCCTTCAAAATAAAAACTGGTGTCTGTCATGGTTTGTCCTTTCCACTACAATATTCAACTATGTGATAGACTGGATAATTGGCATCGCTTTTCGGCACTCAAGAGGTGTGCGCATCAGTCCAGAGCATAGCATCACAGACCTTGAATAGCTGATGATGTAGTTCTTTTTACTGACATTTATGAGGAAATGCAAATAATGTTAAACAATGTGTCAACAACTGCAGCGAGAATTGAACTCAAAATCAATGCAAATAAAACGAAAGTGTTTTTGCATTATATATAAGATGCTGATAAAATACCTATTTTTATCAATTCATTGCTGGTTGAGGAAATGCTGGACTTTAAATACTTTGGATCCACTCTAATACCAAACGGCAAGGGAAAGGATGAAATGGTAACCCGGATAGCGACAGGTAGAAATATGTTTTTCCGATTTATGAAACCTTTATAAAACCGTCGCGAACGAAAATCTGCATCCATATAGCAATTCACTCGATCTTGCTATATGGCTGTGAGTCATGGCCAATGAGAGTGGAAGACATTAAGAAACTGTTAGCCTTCGACCACTCATGTCTAAGGCATATTTTATATATTCGTCGAGTGGATAAAATCACATGTCTATGTCCATCTTCGTTCAAATACCACCTGTATTAATGATGTTATTACAGAGCGTAGCCTTCGCTGGTTAAAGCATATTTCCCACCGTCCACCACAGTTAGCGCAGATTTCGCTTTTCAAGACCTGGAATGATATAGGCAGAAAAGTTTTTGAACAGGTGAACCAGCGATATAAGGACTTAGATGATGGAAAAAGGAATGGCTTCTATTACTACTAGCGATGGCGCCGGACCGAGCAGCTTGGAGATGTCTTACTCTTGAAGCCAGCCTAACCAGTCATGGTGGATGCTGTTAGAAGATGAACTCTTCTGTTGAGGACTCTTCAAAAAATATATATATTGGCTCATAAACTCCATATCTTCTTTAAATTTCTTTTTTCTTATGAAGCTGTCTTTATATTTGGGAATTTTTTGCCACAAGTATGAAATTTCCAAAAATGAAATAAAATATTGAATGCTATGAACATCAAAAATATAAAACCTATATTTGTTGGAAAAATCTTGTTGGCAAAACCTATTATATAAATCATCTATTGCAGAATGCCTCTATTATTTTATTTGCTAAATAATCTGAACAAACTAATTACTTTTGTTTTATTTATATATTGATAAGTAAATAAAATCGTTAAAAAAATAATGCTCCAAGTTGTTTTAATAGTTTGTAACGTTTGATTCCGATCCGATTTATCAAAAAAAGTTTTCGACTAAACAATAGTAAACTCAATATAGCTGCACAATATTTTATTCTAATATTCTTCAACTATTCAATTCGATATAAAATATAAAATAAAAAAATCTTGAAAAATTGAGAAAAAAGTAATTTTTAAATTTCCATTTCCAGCTTAAAATAATTTTTTTGATTGAAAATTGAAAATTCATAGAAAAATGAAAATTAGAAAATTAAGAAAAAAAGATTTAAATATTTAGAATTTTTTCCACCCAAAAATTATTTCCTGATAAATTTTCTAATAAATGCAATGCATAACGCCGATTCACATAAAATAATAATAAAAATAAAAAATTCTTTCAACTTTGAAAAATTGCATTTAATACTAGTTGAATTTTTTTATTTTTTTTTATTCACCCCTTTAGCTGTAATTAATTATTATGTTTTGTTCGATTTCTTCCGTAATAAATACCTTAATTTTGTGGATTATAAAAATCTAATTAATTAACAACGACGCAAATTATTTACAATTCAGTCGACTGCAGGGCAGTTTTAAGTGTTGGTATGCAATTTGTTCCATCATGTTCACATTTTAGCTTCTTCCACAATGGATTTGAATCTCTGAAATTAGCCTTTTCGAAATTTGATTCGGAAATATGTTTGCTGATAAATATGCGATACATAATTTTTTATAAGGTCAAGCCCTAATTTTTTTTATTTTCCATTTAAATTTAGGCTTCTTCCCACTAGTTTTTGGCTGCAAGCTTTCGTGAAATAAGGAGTAATAGAGAAAAGGAGTAATAGAGGGTAATAGAGAATAGGAGTAATAGGAGTAATAGAAAGAATATATTCTTTTCTTTTGTTCGATAGGAATTATCTAAGGTCTCTATTAAATTCATGCATGAAAACTTGAAATTTATAAAATTACTTGGAACGTAAACTAGGTTCAGAGGCGAATGGTGTTCGAAGAGCCTGAATATAGCTTGCCGATGTGAATGCTTTCAATCGCCGAGAATAACGATGCTTTTGACGACAATACGCTATTAGGATTAGCAAGAGAAAAAATAACAATAATGATATAAAAATATATACTAATGGCCCAAGTAAATCAACAACAGAAATTAAGGTTCCAAAGTTTTGTATATCTACTTTTCGAAGGCCGAATTCCTTTTGCAAAGTTTGTTTTGCCCTTTTCTGACTGATTGTTTCGCCTTTTTCGAGTTTCCTAAAAGAATAATTCTTGAAATTACTTTATTCTGAAAAATACTCATTTAGAATGCCCATCAACGCACCACTTGTTTGAAAATGGTATTAGGTATTTAAATTTGCAAAAGCTTTGATCAAATCCAGTCTCGATGTATGACAAATGCGATCAGTGATGCGGGATTTCATAATACAATAAGGATATAAGATATTCTTATTGTTTATTCTATACGGATAATATATTAAAAAATAAATTATATATAAATAAAATAATTAATAAATAGTTTGCAAACAAAAATATACTTTATAGCATTTTCGATTGGCGTAAACGATAACTTTTCGTTATCAAGAAAATGCACCATTAGGATAGATAAATTAACACTTGGCACAACGCTATCAATTACCGCGGTTAAACTTGTTGCTTCTGATAATAATCTATAAATATTCTAGTTGACTACATGTATATATGTTATATTTACTGAGGATTCAGTCATATTATGGATTAAAGTTTTGAAAACTCATATAAAAGCGAGGACCGATATAAAAGCGAGTACTGTTATTGCTCATGTGACGATCTATAAATTATATTTCTCTATTGTTGATGTTGTTAAAAATTTTCTTGTGCAACTTATTTGATCCAAATCCAAAACAATATCAAATATCGAATGGGGAAACAATTGAATGAATTGTGTTGAAATTAGGTTATTAAAAAGAATTAATGCAAATTAGAAACTTTCATCTAGAAAAATGAAAAAGTTGATAGGAAATTTGAACCAAATTTTACTTTTCTATGTTCTCTTTGTCTTTATCAGTTATTGGTGCCATTCGATCAAATATTAACTCGATTTGTTGTTCATAGCCAATCACTGATATCTTAAAAATATTCTATAAATATTCTAAGAGATATTTTAATATTCGAAAAAATTTTTTTAATAGTTTGTGTTGAATTTAAATGGCAAAAAGATTTGGAATGTTGCGAAATATCAACTTGAAATTATTTGATTTGATAATTTTTGAATAATAATATTCGAGTAAAGCAATAAAAATATGTGAGCATATAATAATAGTATATGTAATACGTTATTCGTCGCATTTCCGATTAAAGGTCTAATCACCCGACAATTTCATCAACGAGAATTTCATCGGAGAAATCAAGATCGTTTGAATTTGAATCTTCATATAATGGAAAATATAAAGAGAAAAGATACCGTAACAAGTGCTTCGTCTTCATGATGAGCATTATCAATTACTGTAACATAAAAGCTGAATGAAGTGGATTCGCCGGTTTCAAGATATGAATTAGAGTAAATTTCGCCTGTCGATGAATTCAGTTCAAACGGCCTTTTATCTTGATCCATCACCTACAATCGTAAATGTATAACCGTGAATTCTCCATTAAATTAATCATTCGCTAAATCAAGTCGTTCAATAGCAAACAAAAGAACGAATTCTAACCTGATCATTCTTTTTCATAATACCTTTAATTTCATAAATAAGGCCATTCGACTCGGTATCGGCATCATCAGCCCTAACTTCCATTATTTTATCTCCAGGTCTTACATGACCCTGAATAATACCGCTATGAAATATTCGACGTTGAAATCGTGGAAAGTTATCGTTGACATCTTCGACGTCGATAATTAAAATGATACGATTCTGCACGGATTTTCGACTATCTTTACACGATTTTTTGCAATCAAAGGCCATCACAGTGATATTGTAACGAGCGATACGCTCTCGATCAAAAGATTCTCTTGTAAATATATTGTTCGATGAAATATTTCGCAAGAAAAATGTTCCCTGTCTCTCAGCTGATTCATTTAGTTTATAGCAAATACTTCGATGATTCTTTGAACCATCCATATCTACAGCACTAGGAAAAGTACCAACAAGCACTTCATTTCCATCTGTGCCTATATTCTCCAAAATTGACATTTTAAATTCCTTAAATATTGTTTTTTAATGTAATTTTGAATCCGTCACTAAAATGAAATTTGCAATTTTATATTTTCTGGAAGAAAAACTCGAATAAATAAGATAAACCTAATTTCATTTAGCCATTTTTTAGAAAGTAATCCTTGAACTATGTTAATGAACTAAACTAAACTAAAAAGTTTAATGAGGCATGTACGAAATTTTCATTTGAAAAAAATAAAATAATTAAGTGAAATAATCAGCTTAGAAATTTTTGAAAACAAATGGGAAATGAAAATTCCATAAACCAAGGAAAATATTTTTATAGCCTATGAAAAAAAGTTCTTTTAAACCAACATTTTGCTTAAATTCTGGGCAAAAATCGTTCAAATCGTTAATCGCAATGAAAATATTCAATTGTGTGCACCTATTTGAAATACAAATCTTTATTTTTAATTCAAACAGTTTTTGTTCCTCAAAATTAAAGATTTTCTTTGCAGTAATTTTTCCATTGTTATCAATATCAAATTGCTTCCAATCCTATAAATAAATTTAAACTAAATTAAAAATTATTTCGGAAAATTAATCCGAAAAAATCCCTATCTCTTAATCCCTTAGACCAATAAATCAACGAAAAAATCGATGCGTTCAAATATATTGAACAAAAAAATACATTGGACCATATATTTGTTATAGAGAGAAATGCGCTCAAGATTCAGGAGACAGGATAAAAGCACACGAAGAAGAAAAATTCGATGAACCAAAAGGGCATGGAATAAAATAATTAAGATCGATCATATTGAATTTTCAGGAAAGAAATCCTTTTGTACTTTAAAGGAATCACTTTCATTCAAAAAGAACAATTCCATTATTTAGAACCAAACTGCATAATTGAAAGCTATATTGAAAGTTTTCTCAAGAACAGTTATTAGATGAATTAGCAATTATTAGATGAAATGAATGAAGAAATTGTGAACTGTGCAGGCGGTGATCACCTCATATTATATATGGAAAATTCAAGACTAACACTCATAAATCATCCTGCAAAGAAGTGTTCAGAGTAGAACTTTAAGAATCACTGGTTTGCAATTCAAATAGATATAACCTGGTTTTTTAGTTCCACAAAGCTATAATTAACATTTGCAGGAATTCCAAGTCTCTTGCCATTTGTCACATTTAATGTTAACAATTCTTCATATAATGTATTCTGCAATAATTAAAATCCAAAATTATGAATGATAACTATGATGAATATATATATATATTACACATTGAAATTGAATAAACGATAAGAAACCTCATCGAAGTAGTGAATAGAACTATCTTCTGGCCATAAAATATAAAGGTCATCTCCAATCATCTCCGCTTGAACAATTAGAATACATAAATCAGCGCTTGTTTGCAAGTGTGGTAATCCATGATCACGAGCAACAACAGTAAAACAAGACTTCTTTCTGGCTTTTCCGAACAATGGCGAAGAAAGAGTTACAACACCACTAATGGATAAAGTAAATAAGTCGGAAGTACTTGAATAGAAGGACACTTCACCATTCTTTCCTGAATCAAGATCCGTAGCATTTAATTTGATAATTGTTGATCCTATAGGTTTATCTTCGGCGACCATCAAAAGTGGCAGTTCCGATGGAAAGAATCTTGGTGGATTATCATTAACATCCAAAACATAAATTTTCACCTGTAATTCAAAATATGATATATGACGAAAATTTATCTGATAAAAATTGATAAAATAATTTTTTCAGATGCTTATGAGAAGTGCAAAAAATTTTGATCGCAAAAAATTCTCATTTTAGTGTATTGAAATGAATACCGATGCAAAAGCTTCAGTAATGTTTCCAATTCGGGAAAAGACAGATGCTTTGACAATTAATGAATGAATCTTTTGTTGTTCAAAATCAATTTGTTTCTTAAGCGAAATCTCCGATGTTAAACTATTGATTGCAAAAAATTTGATTCCTCGGACTAAAGAATATTTGATTTGACCATATGTTCTTGAATCTCCTATATATGCCATAGGATAAGATAGATTAAGTTTTGTTCCAACTGGCGCTGATTCTTCAACATATGCTTCGAAGATGGAAGAAGGTCGAAACTCTGGTCTAAAAATAAATTCTTTTCATTATATACGGCTCATTTCTAAAAGAGTGAATCAAACACCTAAAAGTAGACATTGGCAACTTAAATCTTGAGAATTTATTTGTCTCCAATTCAAGCTTTTTTGAACCCATGGACTGAATTTAAAGTTCTGGAAAATCCAGAAAAAAAATCAAAAAATTACAGTGGTCGTGTATTACTATTAATATCCATGATGAATATTGAAACATTAGCGGCCGCCACGTTTCCGATTTCATCTTTGGCCAAAACAGTAGAAGTTATCAAATATACGGATTTATAATCGAGTTTTGTTGCTAAAGCGATATCGCCTTCATTATTTATCGACAAATACCCATCGATTCCATCAATGGCCACAAGTGAATAGCGGATGTGATCAGATTTATCCAGATCAATAGCTTTTACATTTAGGATTGCCTGACCTACTGAAGCATTTTTGTTAATGAATCCAGTATAGTCAGAAAGCTCGAACTTGGGCCAATTATCATTGACATCATTTATAATCAGACTTAAATAACCTGCAAAAATGGAATAAAAGAAAATGGCAAAAAACCTCTTCCAAATCAGGATAATTTGTTTTTTTGTTGGAAATTGTGACATAAATTTTTACTAAATGGAAATTGTGACATAAATTTTTACTAAATGGAAATTTTAATTTGATCACCACATGCAATTATGCTTTGAAAATATGAATTTCTGTAAAATTTCAAAAACAGTAATAAAATAAATGTTTGTGAAATGAAAAAAGAGTCTTAAAAATTCTTTAAAAAGGCTAATTGGCTATTAGAATGGTGAATGGTGATTAAGCTAGATGGCAGAATGTTCAGAATTGCTTGACAGAAGAAGGCAGGGAATAATCGAATTTTTGACAATATTTTTTTTTCATTTGAATTTTAACTTTTGCTAACAGTACCTTGACTTTTTTTGACCTTCATGAAAATTTCGGATTCCTCAGCAGGTAAAATATTTTATTTTATAATGTAGCTTCATTCCTGCGGTCAATTGACCAATAATGAAAGAACCAATAATGTCCATTATAAAGAACTCTTTTATATTACCTCTTCCAGAAGTACTTTTTTCTTTATCGATTACTACGAAACTTATATCTAATTGATCCACCATATCGCCATCAATCATCTGTTCCAGGTAGATGGATCCATTGTGCCGATCGATATTAAGCCACTTCCATTGTTTGCCAGGCTGGCGTGTCCAAGTTACGTTAATTAATTCATCCATTATAAATTCCATTTTGGAAGATGGATTAATCACAACTGGTTCATAAACTGTCGTCCCAGTGGTAGCATTTTCAAAAATTTCCACCCGTGCATGAGGTTCTTTTAGGTGTATAACTGATTCTTTGAAGTGCACAAAAAGTTGTGCCTTGGAATAGAGTTGAGGAACACCGTTATCCTTTGCCACGATTTCAATTTGCGCGAAAGTTTTATTGTTATTGTTAAATGGTTTTTTCATTGTTATATTTCCATTGAATGGATCGACGTGAAATTCAGTGGACAGAGGATCAATGATATAGGTGATCTGATTATTTGCAGTCGTCCTGTCGAAATCAAAAGCTTTAACTTGAGCAATTGTGCCAAGAAAATTACAACTGACATTCACAATGACAAATCTGTCCAAGAAAATTGGCGCATTATCGTTGATATCCTGAAAATTCATCAGTTAACAATATGAGTACGAAAACAATCGAGGAAAACGGAAAATAATAAAGAATTTTTACACTAATAATAAAATTCTATGGACATATAATTAATAATTTAATTATAGAATAGAATAATTAGTTAAAAATATTAAAAATACTTTTAAAATGTTTTAAAAAAATAGTTCAAAAAATAAAAAATTGGTGATTCACAATAAAAATTAGTTTTTTTGGAAACTTACTTTAATAAAAATCTGTATGTAAGTATATGAATGTAAAGAAACCACTCCCATGTCGCTAGCCTTCACTTTTAGCGTAAAATTCAGTTTTTCCATAGATTCAGCATCAAATTTTGGAAGTTGAATTTCGCCGGAACGCTGATCTATATTGATTCCAAAATGGGTATTGTTTACTAATGAATATTTGATCATTCCATTATTGCCCTCATCTGCATCAGTTGCCTCAAATTCAAAAGGGATTTAAAAAATACAATTCGAATTTTTAATTAAGCGATTGCCTCTATTCAAATCAAATTCTTACATTTAAATTTTTATTCGGATCGGAGAAAATTTATACATCAGAGAAAAAAGAAAAAATGAGGTAATTAAATAAGAAATGAAAAATACCTGAACAATAAATCTATGTTGAGATTCCTCGTTAAATTCCATCTTGTAATCGTTTTGAGAGAATTTAGGTGCATTATCGTTTTCATCAGCAATTTCGACGATTAGTTCTCTCGATATGCTTAATCCTTTACCAGAATCGTCGGTAGCTTCAATTGTTATATAATATTTATTTTTATTTTCACGATCAAATATGCCGTTTGAGAACAATGTCCCGTTCTGATCGATTGTAAAATTGTCGGAATCGTAACCAACGATTCGATAAACAATCTTTGAAAATAAATCTGAATCTGCATCAACGACCTACAATGGTAGCACAGTTATTTTATCATAATTAATATGAGTCTCTGAAAAAAGTAATATCTTCATGGAATGCTTTCGATAAGGACATTTTGTTGAAATGATAAGAAGATTTCATACGGCAAAAGATTCGATGGCATGAGGTAGCTTATTTTCCATAACACTAAGACGATTTAACGATGACTGGAATTTGGGAATATTATCATTCTTATCAACGATTTCAACAGAAATTGCACAGTTGCCGATTATTGTTGAATTTGAAAGTGGCGTTAAGATCATCTTAAACCATATTAATATTGATGTAAATTGTATAGAAAATATAAAAATAAACTGAATTTAAATCCAATCTTATTTAATTTTTCCATAAATAAAATTCATTTGCCTACCGTAATATTTATTTGTTTGATGCTTTCATAATCAATCATTGACGGATCTTTGACTGATAACGCCAAACTAGCATTTTGTTGCACCATAGGAGGTGTTGCAGCGAAAAAATCAGAATATTCGCCAACAAGAGACACGAAGAATATGGCATTTTGCTTCTGAACAAGGTAAAATTAACAGAAATATTGCATAATTTGATGATCATTTCTTCGTCTTTTAATCGTTTTCACCATTAATTTGGCTGGTTTTATTATCTATAGGATAAGCCAGTTGGAGATAGCACTATAGATGGGTCCTGGGACTTCCAGTGATAATTATTACTAATAACCTAGTTAAGGGGCAAGGATCGAACCTATAATGATTTCAGCATCCCATTTGGCCACCTTGTAGTTCGATGAAAAAAGTCAATTAAAAATCTTGTTAGGAAAAAAAATCAAAGCAAGAAAATCAAAATTCGAGGCTTTGAAATATTGTATAAAAGTATAAATTTTGCATCAAAAATGATGTCGAAAATTGTAACTCTGTAGAACTCAATAACCTTATTATATACGTGAATTAAAGGTTTAATGATGAAATCGGAATCGCCTTCTACAATGCTAAATTGGTAAAGCTCTTTATCGCATGCAGGTTGGTTATCATCTACTGCAACGATTCTGATTTTATATTCTTTTTCCGTCCACATTTCATCATCGCTTTCTTCAGTTGCCTATGATAAAACATTTCCTTATTTCCTTATGAAATATTTATTCCCTTAATTTGCGAGTGATCATTTGCGTATTAATAGCAAATATAAATATAAATTATCAATAATAGATTGAAGATTGAAGGTTGAAATAAAGTTTTAAAACTCGCCTTGACTATTATTTTAATAGAATCCGTAGAGTGCTGATTGAGATCTTTTTTCAATATGATCCAACCTGATAACGTTTCAATGTCGAAAAAATTATTATCACTGATAGAATATCGAATTCGACTTTGTGGTTGAGCTGATTTATCGCCATCAATAGCTCGAATTCGGAATATTTTTTCGCCTATTTTACATTTTTCATCCACAATTATTTCCGAAACATCATTTTCAAACACCGGTGGCATGCTTAAAGTATTCAAAAATACTACTGGTTTTCTTTTATATTCAATAAAATCATAGTTTTAAAATTTGTTCATTCGCTAAAATAGCTAAGAAAAAATGTTATTCACTAACTCTTGTTCATCAAGCACATTTATCTTAATAGGAAGCTTAGCTTCATTTGATTCTCTTGTACGACCAGCGCCATCTTGAACGACAATAGTTGTATTAATCACTGGTTCTGATTCGAAATCCAATGGTTTTGCGATCCGTATAGTTGATGTGCAATACGACCTCGAACATTTACTTTTGTCTGCCGAAAATCTATCATCCTAAAGTAAGGTTGACGCGTTAATGAACGAAAACAAAATTTTTGCTTAAGAAAAACTAAAAATAATAAATTCAACCTCAATAAAAAATTTCGCTACACCACCGATTCCAGTATCAGGATCAAAAGTCTTTACCACACCAATCGCAGTACCAGTTGCAGCATTCTAAAAATAAATTGATCAGATCTATCAAATATTAGATATTATAGATATTTAAAAAAGAAAATCTCTCTAATCCGTGAACCACTGGAATTGGCATGTATAATGATAATGCAAAGAAAAAGGACCACTTTTTTCAGCTTTTCAACTGGTAATAACTACTCGTTCTTAACAGTTCTTAACAGTTCTTATATATGCCAGAATTTACGGGTTTATTTTGAAAATTGCTTCATCCAACAGTACTTTAGATTTTGGTTTGGCTGCTATTAAGAAGATATCCCTTGATATCACAACAAAGTTAATTGAGAATTCAAATGTTGATGTTCAAATCGGATTTCATCAACACGTATTTCTTATTTCTTATTTTTCAATTCAGTTCTACTAAATTAAAATAAATAATAGTTAAATTAAAATAATAGTTGATTAAGAAGTAAACTTTTAAATGAACCTCTGATACATTAAAATATGAGCGCATTGGTTGAAATATTGGTATGTTGTCGTTAACATCTATTATTTGAATTTCTAGATTTTCTCTTTCATAACTATTGCCCAAAACGAGACTGAAACTTTGCCATCGAGTTCCATCTGCATTTTCCATCTAAAATTTATTATTATTTGTTATCATAAAATTATTACTGTAGAAAACGGTGGTTAGAAATGCCAATTATATTTTGTCGCATATAGTCATCCTAGCCATTAAGATTTTCATTCTTCTTCGAAGAAACAGCCATTTCTGGTTTGGCTCGCTGCATTGGCATTGGCTATTACATTCCTTCGCTAAAGTCAATTGGAAAGAGAGAAGATAAGTACAGTTGGGTCCTTAGTAGCATTTTGTAGTTCCATATATTCCATATAATATTTATTAGTTCAGTGAGTTTTGTATTTCATGCTCTTCATTCATTTCACTTCGAATACGGATTTTTAACGAAATAAAAATGAAGGAATATGATTGATAGAAAAATTCCTGTTCAAGTGTTTTCGAAAATTTTTAAATGTACTAAATTTTCTCACTAAGAAACATGTTTCAATAAATGCCACTAAAATGCTAATGGATCCTTAAAGAAATTTTAAGAACACTTTGAAGTTAATCGCGTTAAAATGGTCCCTAAAGGAAAAAGAAAACAGAAAAATAGTCAGAAAAAGTTAATTAAAGTGATCAATTATTTTATTTTTATTGATATTGGCAATTTTTTCCATTTATTCTCTCAATTCTTTTCAATTTTTTTTTTGAGATTTTTGAGATTTTTCTGCCAAAATGACTTACATCGGCATCAAAAGATTTTTTTAATTTAAGTGTGGCACATGTTTGATTGATTGTCATAATTTGAAAAGAATTTTTTGGATCACCAGAAAGAATTTTGAGTTTCGATTGAGTTGGGCATATAGTGACTGGCAACGCTTTTTCCAGTGGCCAATCCTCATCAATGAACAAAAATGTTGGAGTAATGAATATTGCATATACGAAAGCTGAAAAGCGATAAAAAAACAGTGGGACTGAATGTGAAATTGGAAAAACTTTATGCAAATTTTTTTAAGACATTCGAAGTTTATATTTCTTGCACAAAAGCTATCTATCTAGTGCCATAAATATGAAAATATAAAGGTAATGCCCTACCTGAATAAATTAGGACAATTATAAGCTCATGCACTATCCAAAAAGGCATGGAATCGACTGATTATCGAATATGCGCACGAATGGTGACAGGTGTGCTTTTTAATGGCTGTAATTATTCTATTGCTGGATAATAGCTTTGTCGAGTAGCTTCTTTCTTATACCTAAAAAGTATTCAGAATGAATGATGACGCACATACGACATAGTACCATATTTAAACATCGTTAAGAATTGTTTGTCGCAGACATTTTGAAGTCAAAAATAGGATCGGATAGAATGACAGTAGTTAACAATGGTTTGCATAGTCTATAGTGGCGCAATAGTCAGTGAAAAAGAGGAATAACCGGATATCAGTTGTATGGCGATTTTTGATATAAAGGTTTCTGTCTCCTATACGTTAGCATCAGAAATTTTTTCGCAATTAAACACTCCATTTTCTATTTTTGTCAAGTTTTTTGGCTAAATATTCTGTGCAGCAGTTAAAAAATCCGAACTGGCGATAATAGTCAAAAAGACTAAATATATCTAAATTTTTCGGTTCATTTTTGCGCAAATCATACTTTAAATAATGTAAATCCACTGAACTAAAATAAACAACTGGAGAACTCGATGCAGATATACACAAAATCATTCGCAAAATGATAAAGAACATACTGGTGCACGTATATATTTCACAAATTATATAAAATCTGCGACAATATTTCTCCGTTAGAAATCCTATTTAATGTTGTGTACCAATGAGATTACGAATATTAAAAAAAGTAATTGATACAAATTTGAGCTTTCAAGAAAATAAATAAATAACTCGAGAGAAGGAAAATTTATTGCACATAAAATAAAATGCTTGATGAACAACTAAAAATATATTTCTTTACAACGTTTTATAATTTTGCAACACCACAAAAGTAGTTTATCGAATTGTTATGTTTGCAATATGGATTTAATATATTAAAAGATTTAAAAGTTTAAATGTCTTTAAAAAAATTCAATTACACAAAAATTTTTCGCCTTTTTTTGTGAAAGTAGCATCTTTGAAGCCTCGAAGATACTACTTTTATAAAATTGGCACATAACAACGATATTCACTGAATTAAATTCGTAATAGTAATTAATATTAAAGCGAAAAATGAAATAATTTGAAAATGAGAAAGGAAGCTCAACCTGAAATTGGTTATGTTCAGTTCGTTTAAACAAATAAATAGCGAAAATTTGTGAAAGATGTCGAATAACTCATAATTATTTTTTTCAATGATAAGTGGAACTTCCCTGCCATTGCCTCCAAATTTTGGCGAACAAAGACAAAGGAAAAACTTAATAAATAAACATAGTTCAGTAAAAAGTACAAATCAAATGAACTGACCAATGAATGAGAAAAAATTTATAAAATGACTTGATAAAAGAAAAAATGACAAAAATAAATGACCAGTAAATGTTGTTGGAAGTTTAAGAAGTTTACTTGTCACCAAATAACGCAAACAAATATTGTCAGTTCGGCTCATCCGTATAAAACTAATCCGTAAGAATGTCGTAGCGCTCGTTTATTTTAGCAAATGGCGAACTCTCAGACCGGTAGATTCAACCAATTGTTATAAAGAAATATTTGAGAAACTCAATGAATGAATCAAACTGAAAATTTAATTAGTGAGTAAAAAAATTTAATATAAATTTTAAGGATTTTAAGGATTCCAAGACTAAACATTTAATCCACATTTTATAGCACATCCTTCTTACAATAACGATTAATAAGCTGGATAGGTTGACAATTAGTAGAAAAATGTTGATTATGGAGTGAAAATATTAGTGTAATAATCTATTTTTACAGAAACACAACCATACTTTATTGGTAAGTACAAATTCTATACTCCTTATACTTCAATATATTTCCTTATACTTCAATTTTCAATTATTTCATATAATTTTATATATATAATTGCTCAGTAATCAAAACAAACAGGTCACTGAGTGGAAATTCCTTAACGAAATGAGGGGATTTATAAAGATTCTTCAGAAATGCCCTCAAGAAATATTCGGCAAAATACTTATAATTCATAGAAACGTTTAACGATAAGCGAAACATTTGTCAATTTGATGTGACAACATATTTAAAAATTTTATTTTAAGAATGTATCACTCCACTGTACTATTTCTAGTGGCAAGAATATACTTTTTATTCGAAAATTTAACAATTATAGTTGCATGTATTTCATTTCCAGAGGCTTGCATTATTTATTAAAAAAAGCAGATGGTGCTGCAGACCTGGTGCACCATTGCCATTAATTCTTATTTTAGTCAGCAAATGCAATTGTCTTATCGCTTTTGCATAAAATTATAGATAAGCACGATGTTTCCACCACATAAATTAACTCCTACATAAGTTAACTGTTTAATATAAATATATATTGAGAATACATTGAGAATATTCATATAGAGTCAATGTCGAATCATTAAAAAAGCGATGAGAATCAGGTAAATTTGCATAAACTTGATTTTTTTTGGCACTCTTTTGATCCTTAAAAGAACTAATAAATCATTTAAAAAATTTTTATTAAATATTTTATATTAAATAATTAATTATCAAATAATTAATTATTTATAATAATTAATAATTAATTAAATAATTAGTAGTCAAAAAAATTTAAAGGAAATGTCGCAGTTAATGGAAAATAATTGCGGAAAATTGAACAGAAGGTTTCTTGCTATTTTTCCAGTTTTTTATTCCTTGTTATACTAGTTTTTTCATTAATATCCTTAGAAAGTAGGTGTGGAATAGCTCGGTGGATTGCTGCTCTCATTTTGGATTGGACTGGATGGGATATTGGGGTTCAACCCGCAGCAGAAATGACCTTATCTTTCAAAAAAAGTCCTGTCTTCCTGACGATGCTTCTATTCATCCGTATTTATATCACCAAATAACCATGACAAAATTTTTTGATCCAACGAGCCAAACGAGAAATGGTAAGATGATAGAAAGAAAAATGTCTATAGAAGGTCAGTATTTTTGCGATATTCGAGCTAAATACTCAAAATTTATTTAAATCGCGACTAAATGCCATCAAACTGAAAATACTGAATACAAAAAACCACGTAATAATAGAACATGGAAATAAAAGTTGAAAGTTTAAAGTTCGGATTTCTCCAGAAATTCATGGTAGATTACATTTATTTATTATATTATTTATTTATTATATTATTTATTATATTATATATTTATTATATTAATGCAAAATTTATAAGTGCCACTAAAAATTTGGAGAAAGTAAAAATATTGCATTCATTTCTATTAAATCTTATAACTTACTCAGCGCTAATATCGTGTGTAGCATAGAAAATTTGCCAAATTGGCAACTGTGGGATCGGAAAAAAAGCTAAAAATGATTGCTTGTTGCTGCAAAAGCACAGTTCATATTGATCTTTAGATATTATCTGATAGATATTTTCTCTAAAAAACTGGCTTCACCGCGACGAGCCACTCAATTAATTCACGAATTTCTTGCTCATCGCCATTTTGTCAATCAGTGCTTACAATTTGGTTAGAGATTTTATAAATTAACATTAACTATAAGCAAGCTATGACAGAAACACTGACACCGTCTAACTGAATCATCGTCCATATTAAGAGTCGCCAAGTCGTCCCAGCAGAAATCTCTAACCGTATGAACAGGGGATCGAGCCTAAATAAAAATGATGAGCTTTCTTGATTCCAGTGCCTTCGGATTTAAACTTTTTTATGCATGCCCCTCGCAGTGCTTCTAAATGGACTAGTAAGACAGCTTTCTTTTTTAAAAATTTCATCCAAATTTGGAATAACAATTAAAATAATAATAATATAAGAACTAAACTGATTTAATTAGTAAATTAGTTTTTTCAACTACAATAAAACTGAAAATTGGTTTTAACCAGTGCGATCTTTTCCTTATTTATTAAAAGAAAATTCAAATCCAAACTATCGCTACTTCAAGAAATATAGTTACAAAATTTCATTTTTTTTTGATAAATAACGTGATATTTAAATAATATTATATAAATATTTTGATAAATATAATATGAAACCTTCCTGAGTTGAAAAAAATTGGTTTCTTTCCAATTTTTATCAGTGTAAGAACAAAACAATCTACGAGCCAATATTCGCCTCAACAAAAGAAAAATGAAAAATGAAAATGATTTTCACATTTATCATGAAATTACTTCGTCAGATGAAAAATACAAATCACTAAAACTTAAATCAAATTTATGGACTAAAAACAACAAAGGCGCATTGTCACTACTTGTTGCCATGAATTTTACTTCGATTTAATGCTTGCATTTAACGCAATTTCACGCTGAAAATTATTTATTCCAAGTACTAAATTAAGAATAGCAAAAAATCCTTTGCAGCCAAATTTCCAACTTATTTTCATTATTTAAATTAAATATTTAACAAAAATAATTAAAGCCACACAACATACAATAACTCATGAAGAAATACAAAATAAAATAAAATAAACTTATCGATGCGTTAATTATATTTTCACCAGTGATATACCACAAGAAATTTGGCTAACAATTAAGCAAGAAATAAAAAGATTTCATTCTCCAGCTTATTTAGAAATGATAATAATGATTACAGATTCAACTTTTTTTTTGAATTTTTATAATCAAATGACAGATAAAGTAAATGCCGGAAATCCAAACAAAGTAGCAAACTGATAAAAAAAACTCGCATCTGCGTGTGTGAAAATATGACCTGCATATATAAAAATATTATTTGGAAATGTCCTAAAAATCCTAAATTTATTCAAATTCATAACTAAAATGAGCAATTTTATCGTTCACATTATTCACTGCAATATTTGCGTAGTGACGAAAATAAAGTATAACAATTGAAAAACTGAAAAGCGAAACGCAACAGTGGATAGAGAAACAATAAATGACAAGTAAAAGCCAAATATTACTTCGAAAAATAGTGAGATATATTTGAAAAAAATTTTTTGTTTAATGATCGAACTAATCCGATAAATCATAAATCCTCCACTTTCCTGATAAAATAACTGGCACGATGGCACATTTTCACTATCATCTGTATTAAGTACTGAATGAAATGTTAAAGCAATAAAATAATAGAAGTTAAAATGTTCAAAATTTTAAATCTTTGGAAAACAGAATGAGGAAAAAGCAGAAGGTAAAACAATGAAATACAAATAACGGAAAACAATATTCTAAAAATATTTTTAACAAAAGAATGAAACTAATCGCTGACATTCTGTAATTTTCTTATTCGTGTACACATGTGCATTTCAGCTGGTCGATGACGAATACATAATATTTTTCCACATCTAAATAAATTTTTAACTAATTTTTCTGATATTCCCTCAAAGCAACGCTTCTTGCAAAGAATATTACTAAAGATTTCACCATCGTCATAACAAAGGATATTAAACATTAAACCAATATGTGATGAAGTCAAAAAAAATTTCACATTTAGGAAATTTTAATCAATAAAAAAATAACCTGCATTGAGATGCACTTGATATAGTACTTAATTTAACAGCGCAAGCATAACAACGATATTGTGACTGATAACCAATATATTTCTGAGCACGAGCAACTGCAAAATTACGCCGTGAAGAAGAAGAACATGCCATATTGCACTCATGATGCTTTTTTAAACAAGGCCGGTCATCATCACTCGATGTCACATCCGATCCCTGAAATTTCAAATTATAATTGATAATTGATTTCAAATTGAAATAAATATAAACATTCAAACAACAATCTAAACAATTTATTTTTCAAGTATGCATATAAACCAATAAACTTAATTTGAAAGAATGATTCAAATACTGCACTAATAAAAAACAAATTTGACAATTAAACAAGAGAAAGATTTGACAATTAAACAAGAGAAAGAGAAAGATTTTCAAATAAACGAGAAAAAGAACCTTACGATTGTTACTATGATTGGCCAGATATAAAGGAGGTCTCGTTTTACTTCTAGTGCGGTTTTTTTGCATCATTGTGGATGCTGTTCCAACAGCATGGTGCTTTCGACGAACGCGCAACCTAAATAAGTAAATAATCATTCCAATTAATTTTGAATTGATCTCTAAAACATTTCGAATTTGAATCTTTGATTATCTTATAAGCTCTTTGATTTCTCTTTTCTTTCAGGAATTAAAGAATCAAAATTGGGAAATAGTGAAATCCTGAATATTCTGAAATCTTTCAAATCAAAATTTTATTATAATACAGTCAATGATTATATAAAAGTAAAAAAAAGAACTTTATTTATTTGTTGATTTGCCAAAAAAAAACAATCAAAAAAAGAATTTACCTCTTGAAAGCATTATTAAGTTCACATATGACAACACCAGAAGAAAGTTCAGAGCCATCTTCAGAATGTGTATTTACATCAGTCGATGGAGATAAAGCACGGCTATTCATCAATAACAGTAACCGATCACGAGCTGACATTCCTTCATTGCGATTAGTAACACTGGACTCATCTAAAATTTTTCTGCCAAACATTTGGAAAATTCTCATTAAAATGAAATACAAATAACTTTGGGAAAAAAATTCCTTACCTTTACAAGAACTTCTATGCATCCTTCTACCAACAACTTTCGCCGAATTATGTAGTGGAAATTCAGAGAAATGAATCTGAATGCACTTTTTACACATTCTCTATCGTATTGTTTTCATCCTTTTTAATTTTAATATAAAAGTTCAAGTTTAGCTCTGCTTTTAAAAATTTGAACAACTAGCAATCATCTATAATTTTCACCAATTGTATAAAATCTCTTATCATATGAGATCTTAGTGGAGATATTCTTAAAAATTAAAAATAAATTTCGATAATTCTAATAATAATAAATAAAATAAATGATAACAATATAATTAAACAATATTAATAATTAATATAGCGGATGGTGATCTAATTAACAATGATATAGAAAAATAAAAAAATGATAATAAAAAATAATAATAAACCAAAAACATTTAAATACTTTGGGTGAAGAATCATCTGCTTCATATGAATAATTTGCATGTTCCTCACACTCTGTTTCACCAGCGGAACTTTCTTTTGCACTAGTATCCTCTGGGGCGGACACAATATGACGCTAAACACAAATTATGAAAAAGAACTTGAATAATATACTACTTGCAAATTTAATAAAAATATTCTCTTCAAAAAAAATCACTATGGATATGGCCTCAACTATAAATTTTAACAATAAAGAATCAAAATTGGGAAATAGTGAAATCCTGAATATTCTGAAATCTTTCAAATCAAAATTTTATTATAATACAGTCAATGATTATATAAAAGTAAAAAAAAAAGAACTTTATTTATTTGTTGATTATTTGCCAACTCGAAATCTGGAGAATCTGAACTAATCTGTTGTCCAAAGTCGCATAAATCATAAAAGATTCGTTGTTTTCTATCCCAATATCTCTCATTTAAGCATTTTACTTCACTTTTCGAATCATTAACGGAACTAAATTTTGTAAAATTGGATAAAATTGGATACAACAACAAATCAATTGAAAAATTTATAGTATAAAATTTAATAAGTTTAAATTTAATACAATAATATATAATAAGAATAAATTTCACTCAAGAAAATGCAAAACGTTAAATATGAATTAAGAAAAAAAAAAACATAGAAATGAAACAAAAAAGAATAAAGAAGATGAGAAAATTACCCAAGTGAAAAAGCGAAAAAAAATCACCCATTATTTCTGCTGCTCGTCAAAATCGCATGACTCGAAAAAGTAATTGCTGTCCTTGGACTAAGAGCTAATGGACCAGATCGTGGTACAATAGCTAGACGAACGACAGAATTCTGACGAATTCCCAGATCATAAAGAAATTCTTGACCATTTGCATGAGTAAGTAATTCGCCGCCGAATACTAGACCTTGATGATAAGGTAAAATACCGCAACGATTCCAAATTTTTTCCTTCAAATAATAAAAATTTAAAAAATGATTTTAAATATTAAGCATTAAAAGCACAAACTTAATGTGCAACAAAATTTAATTTAATAATAATGTTTAATACTGAATTAATAAATACTGAATTAAATCGTAAATTAAATTATGTGCCCACAATATATTAAGAAATTTATATTAAAATAATTTATTAAATTTAAATAATTTTTATATAATTTAAATAAAATATAATATAATTTATTTATAATAAATTAGTAAAAGCAAATGAAAATTATAAAATCACAACATTAAAATCTTACAATAATAATAACTGAACATAACTTTCGTCAATAAAAGTCGACAAAAACTCGGCAATAATAATGCATTAAATAACATTTTAGCGATGAAAGAAACCTTTAAGCTAGCAACACTTTCGAAACGGCTTATCTGCTCAGTCCATGTTTGCCCAGTCACTGAACAAATTGAAATATCAACAAACTCCATATCTCCATCGCCAATACTTTCAGATTTTGAAGTTGTACGACGTGCGTTACGAGACATCTTTCGATTTTTGAATTACTTTACCTGAATTTATAAGAAAAATTAGTGAACTTCAAATCCGTGACAGAAATTTCACTTCTTTTCGTCTATGAATATTACCAACTAATTAAATATTATAAATATTAAATATTGTAAATAAAAAATGAAATTTATCTGTATGCTGTGCTGTGAAAATAACAACTCTTCTGCGTTAACGGAGAAGAAAAGAGCAAAAAGAATTTCGAAAAACTTACTGAAATATTTCAAAAATTCACAATTTGCAATAAACTGTATTCGAAATATTTCTTTATTCCTCTCAACAAAAATACTTTTTTCTATTTTACTATTACTATTTTAATTTTAATAATTTTTTAGTTTAAATTACTTTTAAAAATTTAATAAATCAAAGGAAATAACGAGAATTTCACTGTAAATATGTAAAATTAGTTCAAATTTCATTTAATTAAAATAACTCAAAATCAATGAATTTATACAACAAAAATGGCCGGAAAATAATGGAAAACAAGTAAAAAATAAAATAAAACCCCGCGAAAATTTCTTTTTACAATAAAAATAATTTTTCCCACCCTCCGAAAAAAAAATTTGGTGGAATAAATCGATCGATAAATTGAATTTCGTAATAATTGTGGCCGCGGTCGAGAAACGCGGCCCTCGTTGTTCGGAGTTTTATGTTGTATGTTTTTGTTTTTTGTTTTTTTATAACTGGGATTTTCGATTTTTTTCTCGTTTTTTGAGGTTATTCCACGTTTTTAGCGATTATTATATATGGAAATTCGAATTTTTGATAGGTTTTTGATGATAAAAAATATTTTTTTTAGTTATCGCAAATGGCAACTGAGACGTTAACGAGAAGTGCAATTAGTTTAAAAGGATCCGCTCAACTCGTGCAGGAATTTTTTCGTTAGTTATTTTCCCAATTTCCCAAATGAAAGCACTTCTGCAGGTGGGGACGGATAAGTCTCCGGATTTCTTCTTCTTCTTCTAACAGCTCTCACCATTACTGGTTAGGCTGGTTCCACTACAAAGGTAAGAGGCGGTCGACAGTAATAAAAGCCATTCGTTTTTCCATCGTCTAAGTCCATATATTGCTAGTCCACCTAAACATTTAAAATTTTTCCTGGCCGTATCAGTCCAGGTCTTGATTGGCCCACCTCGCTTTTGACACCATCCATCACACGGTTTAGCAAGTAACGAAATATGCGACAACTTTTGTGGTGGACGACGGAAAACGTGCCCTAAACACCGAAGGCGGCGCTCTGTGGTTCCCAGATTTCACGTGTATTGAAAGCACTTCCATCAAGAAACTTTAATTGAACTGGTGGTGTTTAAGTTTAGCTTAGTTGAAACTTATATCAGTCAATAATATTAATACGATTAATATTCCTTCTCCAACTGATTGATTTAATTTGTTATATGGAATTATTATTGATATTTATTTGTATTTTTGTGATTAAGATTTTCTATATAAACTATCGCTTTTCATCCTGTTCGCCTTGTGAAGTACCATAAGGAACGTGTTTGGTACTTCAGTTATCTAATACTTCAGTCTGATATGGTGGTTTTCTATGTGGTGTTTAGCATTTGCAAGAATAGTAGAGCAGAATAGTAGAGAAAGCATGGAATAGTATTCAAAAAAGAAGAATGTAATATGAAAGTACTGCAATGGTAAATATGGAAATTAGCAATGAGAAAACGGATAAGAGGAGAGAAAAGAATAGAAGAAGATGCATATAAATATTTTGCGTTATTTCACCGGTGCTAAATGACCCCTTATCAAATATGACTGAAGTGCCTCTTTCAATTTGAGTCTAATCGATATTATTATAATAAAAAACGATAAAAGCATTTTAAAAGCTATTTTCATTTTTTAGATTATTTTTTCGTGAAAATAAATAATTATCATTTTAAAATTTGAAGCAGTTTTATTAAAGCTTAAATTTAGCGTTAATTTATCCAGTTCATCAGTTCGATGTTCCAAAAAATTTTAGGTTTTGGTTTAAATAGTATATTGTATCAGCGTGGCATTTATCCAGCACATTCGTTTGTTCGAGAAACGAAATATGGATTGCCGCTTTTGGTTACGAAAGATCCGAAATTGCAAAATTTTCTTTCTCCTCTTCTTAAACAAATTCAGTGTTCGTTGTTTTTTATTATTTTTCCACTTTTATTTATTTATTACCTTTTTTTTTACCGAGTAATTTATGTTATTTAGTTTAGAATTATTTTCATGCAAAGTTATTGTGTATTTTTTTCTATGCATTTTGCATATTATGTGATTTGCATGATTTTTTATATCTGATCGATTATAATGTTTAAATTTTTTCTTTTTGATTTCTTTTGTTACTATATTTTCTGCTTTTATTAGTTTATTTTATTTTATTAATGCTTTTAAGTCCCTATAGGAATTAATTTCTATGAAATTGAAACCTTTCATTTGAATATATTTCAGATTGGCTTCAAAAGAAGCAATTGAAACGTTTGGTTGTTGTGATTTGTAAAATACCGGCAAGAGAAGTTATAGAAAGGTGGCAGTTTGATATTGAAACAGATGAAGAAATTCAGGAAGCTGGGTGAGAATTTTCTTTTACTTGAAAGGTGGAGATATTTTTTTGCAGGATTGCTAGTTTGGCTTCTTCCACTGGTGATTAGAATGAGACATTTACAAGCGTCCCTGTCCGATGGCAATTCTGAAATCATTCCTTTTTCCATCACCTAAGTTCGACTACCTTCGCATTTACCTTTACCTTATCGCTCCAAATATTGATTGACCCTCCTTATTTTCGACAGTTTCCATCATATGATTTAGAAAGTGGCAAGATCTTCGTCAATTTCTGTGGTGAGTTGCGAAGAATATAACCAAACCAGCGCAGGCGGCGATTTAACGATATTTTTAATGCAAGTAGTATTCGAGTGAAACTGGATGCATTCATGTGTGATTCTGTCCTCTTGGTACGTAGATATGCCTTAGGCAAGAAGGGTTAAAAGGAAAGAGTTCCTTGAATTCTTCTCTCTTTGGGCAAGTTCTGCAGCCATATATTAGGTACTACATGCAAATAGAGGCGAATTTTTATTCTGAGGCTTTGCGGCATTCCAGGGAAGTTTCGCCAGACGAAGGATGGCACCTTCGGGTTCAGCCATCCGTGCTGTAATAATCTGTCGCCTGACCATTACATATGAAAGTGAATGAGGAATATCTGAAAATTTGATATTTAGTGATGATCGTTGATATAAATTGTTTTTATATCGTTTTTCTATATATATTCCTTAAATTTCTTTTCTCAATTCCTGTGAATGATATAAGTCATCCTTAATCTTAGATCCTCTATCAGGAACATGCGAATTTTGCAGTTCTGCATACTATTTAGATATAACTGGAAATTCTACTCAACAAAGATCTCTTATAGATCTTATAGATCTCTTATTCATGCAATCTGTTGAAATTTCTTTTCTACTTTAAATTACAGCCTCTATTGCTTTTATCTCCAGTTGATTACCTTGGTCTTCACTTTCCACATCTCTGATTTTCTCTTTCTGCCCCTGGTGTTTCTCTAATTTCTCAAATTCTTCTTCCTAATATTCCTATCACTTGGTATTATTTGGTATCTGCTACGAGTGCTGAGATCTGGTTCTTGTTTAATACATGAATTCTCGTTGATTGGCGAATACTCTTTGTTTGCCTGGAAGAAGGATTTTGGCTGCAAGATTTTATTACATAATTTTCTGAGGAATCTCCCATTTGGTCTTGGGAGGCCTCGTAGCTATATATTAAGCAAATATTCCAACAAATATTTTTAGAAAATGCCAGCTACTTAGTTTTGCATTCCTGTGTATGCTGTTTCTGCCTACATCTTACATCGTGCTATTATATTTTGCGATAGTTTCCGAGGCTTTTTTGCCCAAACTGACCTTGAACCTGTTTAATGTGGTAAATTCCTTCTTCAATGGATCTAATGCTTCGTACCTGTTTTGATGCTGTGATCAGTGCTGTTATCCAACCATTGGTAGGATTTTTTCACTGTCAGCCACCTCAGCTCTATGTCGATGGTTCATCCCATGATTATTTTGCTTTGCCACTTGGTTCTTTCTCTGTTTGGCCTTATATATGGTTCGAGCATTCTCTTTTTCTTTGATGCTATCTTGCTGATGTATTCCTGAATGCTTCGCGTTTCATTCAGTGGTTTTACTGCTTACTAATTCCTGCCTTATTTTCGGCTGGTGTGCAGTCTTCGGTGGTTAAATTTTTAGTGGAAACACTAGAGATATAGAAATTTCCAGTTTTCATATGTCTCCATTTCTTCCTTTGATTCTTTCATTATGCTAGCATATCTTATTACTGGCAAGGCATACATATTTATGGCATATTTGATTTTGTTTTTCCCATCAGTTAATTATTCAATTATCTGTTTTACTTCTTGGTAGTATTTGGATGTTGCTGGATCTTCCTTGCCTCTTCATCGTGATTTTATAATATCTATAACCTATTGTTAGATGCTTTATCGACTTTACCATTTCTTCTGATTCAATCAATATAATTATATGAGCTCTGCCACAGAAAGTTCGTCATTTTAGATGGATTGTTAATAATAAAACTTCTGCAATGTGCGTGGTTGATAATTCCACCTCAGCAGTTGACACTTTGTCTCTTTTCACTGTCATCCACATATCGATAACTTATTTCAAAAAGCCATTATATTTCAAAAGGTTGCGTTGGTTTTCCATACATACAATTTTGCGCTGTCTTACACTTATAAAATGTTTTAATAAGTCTAATTAATTTCTCTGGAACACCATCGTGTTGTATGATTTGCCGTAGCATTGATTGTATCAGAAGAAATGGCAAAGTCGATAAAGCATCTAACAATAGGTTATTGATATTTGAAATGATGTTCCAATACTCTTTTTAAAGTATATTTGTATCAATATAGCTAGTTTCTAGTCTGATTCCTTGGTTAGAACATATACCTTGAATCTCTTCAACAGAAACGAAACGAAAACTTTCCTAGAAAGAATCGATTCCTCGAGTTGTCGTAGTTCAGTTATCATCATTCTTGAAAATTTGGAGCAGAATTGGAGCATAAATCCTCATTACAGTCATATGCACACCAGTGGATGTAATCTTTTTAGGTGTATCCTGAAATCATCTCCGGGGATTTTATAAGTCTTAAGCTTGTAAGTTTTAGAGATTATCCCGTGATTACTTAATTAAGCTTACAACTATACGACTGTAAATTAGTTCGAGTTTTTGTCTGGGATAATTGGTGTTCCTTCATAATAAGTTTAGGTTCAAAGCAATCTTTCCATCAGAAAAGTTAATCTTTTATAATTTTAATGGACTTTGAATCCTTATCTCGGATCATTTCTATAGTCCCTCGACTGAGATCGGCATTTTATTACCACCTGTGTTAATAATATTATCACAGAGCGTCGTCTTCGCTGGTTAGGGTACGTTCCCCGTCTTCCACCGCAGGAATTGACGCATATTTCATTAATTGCTAAACCTTCTATGGTTGGCGCCAAAAGCGAGCAGGACCAGTCAAGATCTGGATTGATATAGTCAGGAAAGATTTTGAACGTATAGAAGGACCAGCGATATATGGACGATGGAAAAAGGAATGGCTTCTATTACTACTAGCAGTGTCGGACCGAGCAGCTTGGAGGCTTACCCCTGTAATCAATGCAGCTAACCTAACCAGTAGTGGTGGGAGAAGAAGAGACAGTCATTTATCGGCGATTCCAGAGGTGATAACGCTGCTAAAGTCCTTAGGTTTTTCAATATTTTTTAACTTGAGATATTCATAGGTTTCAGGAATGCTTTTTCCACGTTATCAGTTCCATTCTAATCTTGGTTCTAACCAGAACATAGTCCGTATAGGTTGTCAATTTCATTTCCACCATATGCTACTATTTTTCCATCAGTGATTGAGCAAAATATAGTTATTTTGATTCGGGTATTGCCTAGCAAATTTCATGTAATTAAATATTTTCTGCTGTAAGCATTTATTAGAAGCATATATTTTCCACGATCGTTATTACGTTATTTTGGACGAGATGTTAGCAAGTTAAGCTCAACATGGAACCTATCCAGATTATTTGTGTTTATCACATATTATGTGCGTTGCAAAACGCCATATGCTATTCGTTTGGCCCATGGCCATTGAGTTATTTATGGATAGAGGTATAGATTGATAAATTTCCAGTTACCAATTTCCAGTTGCATTTCATTTTTATGACAAATGCAGTCTTATTTTGTATATGCGAAGAAATAATTTCTTAGTTGCGATAATTAAAAAATTATCATGATAGGAAAAAAATATTTTTTTGTTTATGTGAAAAACGAACAGAACTTTTGTTCAATTAATGTTAGTTGGATAGTTATTTTTTTACAATTTTTTTCATTTTCTTTAATTTCTTTAATTTCTATTTTAAAGTTTTAGCGAAAATTCGATTCGAAACAAAGATGAAAAAAAAATAAAGCAAGAAATGTCTGATGTTATAAGGTTTGCTTTTATTGGTTTTTTCGGTTATTTTTGCAGTGATAATTCAAAATTTTCAAAATGATTTTCAAGTTCTATTTTGAAACTAATTTTTAAAAAATTCAGTTTTTTCAATATTAATTTGATTTTCAAAAAAATTAAGGCAAATCACAGCTTCAATCGCTTTTTTACCGCAATTAGACGAACTCTGCTCGTTTGATGTTTTAATATACACAGGTAAGGATACAGATGCGCCAGAGGATTGGACTGAAAGCGACGCTTGTAACATTGAAAATGCCCATGAAGTACAGCTTCGATCTTTCTCAACATCTGTGCATACAGTTCACACAAAAGTAGCATATAAAGCAGATTTCTGATTGTTTTTCTCCTTTGTTATGTTCTTAAATAATCGCATATTTGACGGTATTTTTGTGATGAACAAACGGAGTGAACGTTTGGTCCGATAATTTCGAGAAATTTTGCTTGATTGTCTATTTAGAATGATTTTTTTATTTTTCTACATTTTTTATGTTTTAAAATCTATTTAAATTGCTAAAGTAAATTGCTTTTTTATTAGATTGTTTTTTCTTTCATTTGTTTTTCCGACTATTTTGTATATTTGGATTGTTTTTTTTTAATATATTTACAGCACTCAATTTTCATTTATTCAGAATAAAATATACTTTTTTTTTCAACCAGTTTCATTGATATAAATTCATAATTCGATATTTCAAAATTATTCTACTTTATTTTTAGTCGATTCTTTTAAGTTTTTTCTTTTTTGCTTTTCAGATTCCTAAATATGAAAGAAAAATTAATTCAGCGAATTCTTAATGGGTACAGTTCGAAAGACCATGGCTTATCAGCTGATTTTATTTTGACGAATTTAACACAGATGAAGGGGTGTGGGTGTAAAGTTCCGCAAGCGGTTGGTTTTTCAGTTCGTATACATTTGGTAATTTTTGTTTTTTTTTCATGCAGTGGAGGTTTATGAGATTTTTATTTAAATTTTGGTATTTTAAGAATTTAATTGGGTTATCGTAATTTACCAACATCTTAACTATTTTTTTAAAAGATTTCAGGTTTTGCTAGATTTGCTTAAAGATTTGCCTCAGAATCACAGTGATGCAAATGAAATCGGTTATCAGTTTTGAAAATTTTAAAAATTTTCAAATTCATCGGTATTTATTTGTCGGATTCGATATTATTTCAGCAATTGAGTTTGCTGCTCTAATTTTGCATTTTGCTTTGGCTTTAACTGATTTCTTAAAAATATTGGGATATTGGGATTTTTTTATTTCATTGTTAATCTCTTGATTTATATTGCATGTCGACTTATCAATTTTGTAAAAATTTTTAAACTTATTAAACTTATTTGTTAAATTTATTACGAAATTTTTTACCAAATTTTTTTATTACATCAATTTTATTAAATATTATTAAATTTTATTAAATTTGGAAGCCTATTTCTTTAAAGGTATTGGATTGGACAGTTGTGTAATTCCTCTGCGTCACAAGGGTCTCTTTCTTGTTCAGACAACTGATTTTTTTTATCCACTCGTTGATGATCCATATATAATGGTTTGTTAGTTTCAAGCCTAAAAGCAAAAGAGATATCGAAAATATTATTGTTAGAGTTTATTGGATATTTTTGAAGTTACTGGAAATTATTTTTTCTCCGATGTTGTACACTTTTCTGCTTTAAACAATTAGCAGTGGTTTAAATTATAAAAATAAAAGAAAATTGTCTAGATATAAATATAGTTTTTTGATGAAAGTTCAGTCTTTAATTTGTAAATAATGAATTTAATTGAAATGTTGGATTTTAATTGATGGTCGAAGTTTGAATTTCTGTTATTTTTTTTAAAATTTTTCCATCATTTTAAATTATTTTATTTTTTGTGAATGCTTCACTTTTTTAGGGACGAATTACGTGTGCTAATGTCCTCAGCGATCTGTATGCGATGGGTGTTACTAATTGTGATAATATGTTAATTTTACTTGGAATTCCGCGTGACCTCGAAGATATTGAACGAAATATCATTGTTTCAAATTTCCTTCAAGGATTTCACGTCAGTATTGGTTAAAAGATTTGATTTTTGATTTTGTTCAACAATTTTGTTCTTTCAATTAAAATATTTTAATTATTAACAGGAAACAGCGAGTGAAGCTGGAACAGTCATACGCGGAGGGCAAACAGTCAGATGTCCTTGGTTACTTTTAGGTGGTGTTGCATCGAGCGTGTGTGTTGAACAAGAATTGGCTAAAGTAGATGCTGCACAACCTGGCGATGTGCTGATTCTTACTAAGGTTTTTTAAAAATTTCCACTTTTCTTCTTTCTCCATAAATTTATCCATAAATTTTATCAATTTTCTTTCTTTTTCTTTTTTAATATTTTCGTAATTGAAAACTTTCTTCATTCTTTTTTAAAGACAAAGCGATAGATTAAAATTTCTGCGTTAATCTACAATTTTCTTGAGAATCATGTACAAAATATGGCCAAAAGAAAAAAATATAATGTATGTGAAGGTAATTGACGTTTTTGTTCATGCGCTTCTCATTTGAAATATGTTTTCAGCCTATTGGTGGTCAGATAGCAGTAAATTCGTACGAATGGATGAAAAAAAATAATGGTCGAATTGAGGAATTAAATCTAGATAAAGATAAAGTTCTGCGTGCTTATCAGCAAGCTGTTGAACAAATGTGCAGATTAAATAGAAATGCTGCTGGTATGACTATTAAGTATGCTACCCATGCTTCAACTGATGTTACTGGTTTTGGAATTCTCGGTTAGTTATTTTTAGATTTGGCATTCAATTTGATTTAAATTCAGATTGGAAATCTATTAAATATTATACTTCTATATGAAGCCACATAATGTGATTTTATTATTAGTATAAGAAGTAATAAAATTTTAAAAAAACTAATGATAAAACTAATGATATTTTGCAGGTCATGCGAAGAATCTTGCTAAAGCACAAAAAGCAGAAGTTCAATTTGTTATCAATACATTACCTATAATCGATTATATGGCCCACATTGCTGATGCGATGAATAACGGTTTCAATCTTTTCAGCGGTACTTCAGCTGAAACATCTGGAGGATTACTGATTGCTGTTGAAAAAGAGAAGGTCTGCTGATTTATTTATTTAGTATTTGAGGAAACTTTACATGTTGGGATCAGTCACGTTTATTCCTAGTTTTTATGCTGATATAATAAATACATCTAGTTTTTCCTTAAGGGAATAAGCGCAAAATTCATCTTTGAAAATTCCACTTCACATTTAGAATTGAAACCATTTTAAGGCTGTTGCATTATGCGAGGAACTCGAACAACTTGATGGTTTCCCAGCGTGGATAATTGGTGAAGTTATAAAAGGACCTCGATCTGCAAAAATAGTGGAAAATCCAAAAGTAATTTCTGTCCCATCGAGAATTCATCCATAATAAATTCCACATATAAGGCAAACTAGTTGCAAACTAGATTTGATAATTCATTTTTTGTTGACAAAGAACTTTTTTATTTCCTCCTTTATAATTGAATGACGAATTTTACTCCATAAAGTTTAAAATTTCATCCGAAGATGAATATGAGATGAACATAAATATTTTCCGCGATTCAGATCATACTTCGACTATTATCGCCGGGAAAAATTTTATTGTTATTTAATTATAATTACTATTATTTATTTATTTATTTGCTCTTCAAAGTTCATTTATCATTTCATCTTTGTTGCAAAATATTTTCGAAACATATATCATTTTCATCAATTTTCAGAAAAGTTTTACTTAATATGGGGCAACAATAAACCAAAAACTGAAAAAAAATGAAAACAATATTCTTTAAATAGGCAACTTTCGAAGAAGGCTCAGAAAAAACGGTTATAATAATAAACAATATAAAAATCAAATATTCTTTTGAGAAATTCGAAACAAGCAAATAAGCGCATAATAAATACATAATAAAAATTAACTAAAATGATATTACATATTTTTTTGCATTAAATAATATTTAGTTTTATTGATCAAAAGGATCTTTTTACTTTCATGGATTTTTTTGTATTGGTTTTAATCACTTCAAATGAGGATCTTTTTCGTCGAATATTATGTTCATTGTTATTGGTCAAAAATCCCTTTTTCTTCCCAGTTACTGGCGAGTTATGAAATTTGTTGGCAGCAAATAAAGTCTTTTGCTCTGCCAAAATTGAGACATTAGCTTGACTCGTATCAGATGGAACATTTTCCTCCTTTTTTGCGTTAGACTTGTTTTTCAGACAAAAATTACTAATGAAATCATTCACTTCGTTGATATCAGCTTCGGGTATATCCGAAAATTCGAATCTAAAGTATTTGTACAGTGAAGCGACAAAAAATAAAATGATATAAGCTTCCTCTTAAGTTGCATTTCATCTACATCACATCACATCACATGCATTATATCACAATTAAAATTAAAAAAGTTATAAAAGTGCCTGCTGATTTCTGATTTTAACTGGTTTTTCACTTCATCAATTTTTTTAAATAAATTGTATCGTTCATTAGGAATAATCTTTTCGTTCTCATCATTTTGATTCTAAAAAAGTTTTTGCAAATATACATAAATGTCACAAATGTTTTCTTACTAAATAAAAAACAATCGAAGCTAACCAGATAATTCCTTCTCTCAATGAAATAAGATGTTGATCTCAATGTTAATTTCAAGAAAAAATTACTCAGATACGTAGGTAATATTAAAATAAACTGATTAACGCCAAAGCATGCAAAAAATTTGGACTTATAAACAAGATTGGAGTGATGGTGCTCAAGAATAAGACAAAGCAAAAAAGAAACCTGGGTCGGTTCTTGACCTTCAATTTCCAACTGGAATGATTCAGCACTTGAAATAGATGAATTTAACAAAGTCATTTCATTCTTAAAAAAAGTTACTATAACAAGGGGAAAAACATTTATGCACATGGTTATTAGAAAAGTTGTAAAAGTTTTTGCCTTAGATATGTAACAAGTAAAATTTGGAGAAAAAAATTCCATGAATTGTTTTTGGAATTTTTAAAAATAAAAAGTAGCCAAATTACCAATTCGGGCGATAAATGGGATATAAGAGCGAAGAAATTTTTCATTTAAAAAATGAATTCAAATGAATTCAACAAAAAAAATTTATATCTTGATAAAAAACAAACCCAATCTTCTTCTGTAAGAGATTCATCATTTTTATAATTACCAAAGTCCTGAAAAGATTTTAGATATTAAGAATTAGGTAGATAGAATGATATAAAAATGAGCCAAAATCTACATGAATAAATAATAAATCTTCATAAATGAATAATAAAAAATAATGAATAAATAATCCAAACATATAAATGATTACTAAAAATCAAATATTTTGCAAGATTAAGAGAAGTTAACAAGTCACCGGGATTAAAGCAGAGATTTTAAAATAACTGAAATTTTTGATACTTTGAAAAAGAAAAAGATACTTTGAAATATAAATCCATTAAAAATTTCAGTTCTTTATGGATGATCAACTTATTATCTGGTACAACCACAAATAATTGACCTTTTCTGAAAAAAAATAAAGACACTAAATTTCCATTTCCTTTCTATATTATTCTTTGTTTGTCAACAAAAAAATGATAAAAAATTTATTGTCAGTAAAGTCTGAAACTCTCCCAAAAAGAGCTGACATATTCTAATTGGTGAAAGAATAAAAAGATGGGACTGCAATCTTACTAAAGCATTCGTTCAAAAACAGAACAAAAAGCTTTTAGAATATATAAACATACACTTTTCTAAAAGCATGATTGGAAAAAAATACAGCAAAATCACAATAATCCGATCCAATACCATCAGTTTTATCTGTAATAAACTTGCATTAAACTCTGAAATTTTAATAGTTGCTAATTTTTAATAGTTGCTTCTGGCATCGAAAAAATACCTAACCACATGAAAATCTGGAACTCCCCAGATAACACCTAACACCTCAAGCAAAATGATTAGTCAGTCGCTGTTGGAAGAGTCTATAATAGACAACCGTTCCTACCGCGGTGCTAAAACGGGTAATTTTCATAGACTTGACAATCTTATCGTCCGAATCAAAATCCTCACAAAATTGAAAACTCGCATGTCGGAAGCAATTGTCCAACTGTCTAAATCTGAATTAGCTGTCAAAGCACGAATTTCAGGAAATCCTGGATGCTTCAAAGAAATGTAACGACAGCAGCATGGCAGGATAGATCACTATTAGAGCGACGTGGCCTGGACAATGGAGATGGCAGCTCAATTAGGCAATAATAGGAAACTATTTCATCTTCTTCATAAAGCGACTGTAATTCAAGGAATGGTTAGTGAAATGGTAAGGAATAGGAATGGTATGCCTGTTACGAATAATAAGGATTGCATTATAATATGGAAAAAATCCATTGAAGCCAAACGTAACCACGATAAGCCGATACGCCATCTGTTGACTTGGACATAGCTGATACATTCGTCGAACCATACGTTTGCAATTGCGAACCGCCAACACAAGAAATTATCTCGGTTATCCATAGGCTTAGTCCAATAAGAATCCGATAAAAGATGGTCTTCAGGCTGATCTCTTCAAATGTTGTCCATCATCCTCCATAACGCACCTTGTACTTGTGCCTTCTGCTATGGAAGAAATATTACCAGATGACTACAGCAAAGTAATGCTGCTTCCAATTCTCAAGAAAGATGACAGGACATACTGCGACAATTATCAAGGAATTAGCCTCCTAGATGTCTCAGCGAAAATTTTTACTTCCCAATAGATCTATGGAAATACGGAACAGCAGGATGGCGCACCCAAGCTAGATTAAGACCGGTTGCGTTGGTATTCATATTAAAAAAGAGTGTTGAAACATCGCTTCAAATATCTGAAACACGCCGTGTTTCATTTGCGCTTGCCTTGTCAAGTCATGTAGACGTGCTTCATGAGTATATGTGGGAGATTAAACTTGCACTGCACGTCATATAGCAGATACTGGTGTTTATGAGGGTATGCGGGAGGCTCGATTCTATCGATGGAATGGCGCTTTGCACGGTGATGGAACGCGATGGTGTTCTAGAGAAGACCATTCAGGTCATAAAAACATCAGCGTAAATGGGCGTAGGTATGTGTATATGGAGAACTGACAAAATCTTCGAATCTTCGAAATAAGAACTGATGTGAAGGTTGCGTCCTTTCTCCTATAATTTTCAAATGAGTGATAGACTGGATAATGGATACTACTTGTAGGTACTTAAGAGGTGTAAAAATCAGTCCAAAGCATCGTATCACAGATTTTGAACTTGCTATAATGTTCTGGCACTTCCTTTTTGCTAACAGTAACGCAAACGCAAACAACGCTAATGCTAACAATGCTAACAACGTGTCAGCAACTTCATCGAGAATCGGATTCCAGGTCAATGTAAATAAAACAAAAGTCTTATATACAGGAAGCTGAAAAAATGCCTTTTTTTACGAATTCATTACTGGTTGAAAAAGTACCAGATTTTAAATATCTTATATTTTAAATATTTTTTAAAAATATTTATATTTATATAAATATTAATATTTATAATATTTTAAATATTTTTTTTATTTTAAATATTTTAAATATCTTGGACCCACTCTAATCCCAAACAGTCAGGCAAAAGGTGATATTAAAACCCGGATCAAGCAGCTAGACATGCGTTCTTCAGGTTGATGAAACCTTTATGCAACAGTCGTGAAATCACCATAAAAACTAAAGTCCAGATCTATATAGCCGCGATTTGTTCGATCTTACTATATGCCTGCGATACACGACCGATAAGAGTGGAGGATATTAAAAGTTGTCTGCCTACTCATGTCTAAGATACATTTTACGGGTTCGCTGAGCAGATAAAATCTCACATGATCGTATCCATTTTCATTCACGTTCTTTGGCGCCAACCAAAATATATTTCGTTACTTGCTAAACCCTGTTATGGACCAAAAACGAGGAGGACAAATCAAAGACTGGACTGATACAGTCAGAAAGAATTTGAAGTAATATATGGACTTAGACAAAATGGAAAGAGGAGTGGTCTCAATTAATGTTAGCATCAAATCGCGCAGCTGAAAATGCCTTACCCTTTTAAGCTAGTGGACTCAGCCAAACCATTAATGGTGGGAGTTAGAAGAAAAAGAAAACTTGAAAAATTCGGATTCAGCCGAAAAATATCATAAATTTTCCTTTTTTGAAGATTATAATATCTATACGATAAAAATCACTAATGTAATCATTTCGAAAATCAATAATTTCAAGAAAAATTGAATTCTACCTATTCTATTCATTCTAAAATTTTCCAATTAAATTTTTATTCTGCTAAGTTTTTTAATTTATTTGTAATAACAAAAGAAAAAAACAAACAAATTTGAGAATGAAAAGTCTCCGACACATCACAGCAAACTGACTTCGTTAACATCCACGTTTTTTCATTATTGGCACAAATAAAAGCAAAAATTTCTCCAATTGAAGATGCAGGTACTTTATCGGATTTTCTGCAGAAATAGCAAAATTAAAAATTGCAAAAATTTTTTTTTACCCTTATTCATCCTCAAATTCCCCTTGAAAAAAATTTTACAATGATCATTAAAAACAAACAATAATAAGTTTAGATAAATATAATAGATTTTCCTTCACTATGAAAAAAAAAATTCTTTCATACATCGATATGAGAAATTTTTAAAATTATATTTATCAATAAGATCAATGAATTATAAGCAAAAAAAATATGAAAAAAAAGATTGTTTCTACTTTGTAATGAGGTTTATAACGAAATTAGAAAGGTGAAAAATAGCTTCATTTTCCTGCAAAGTTTGACTGTAATCCAGTGCACTATTTTTGAGCATTGAATGAGGATAAACCATATTTAATAACGCGATTGGTATTTCACCATTCTCGATTACATCCTAAATTTTGAATTCTTTCTATAAAATTAATAAAAAATGTCTAAATTAAATAAACAGAAATGATATTAGAATTATATTTGAAGAGAAGGATGAATAAAAGGACGATGAATAACCAATAATATTATTAAATAAATATAAATTTGAACCAACCAATTTCATGAAATTAGTTGAGCATTCCTTGTTTGCCTTAAAATTCACAGGTCCTAATCCAACAATTCCAAGGACATCTCTAAAAAAACTTAATAAAAATGAAAGATTTATAAATTTATTCTTTATTATATATAAATCTTTGTAATAAATATAACGGTAAAAGATATCCTATGAAGTAACACAACTGCGTAAACATATTCCCTCGTTATAACACCCATCTTAATATTCTTTACGTCCTTCGAACATGTTACTGCCAGGATAAAGTTTACTACCAAGAACAAAGAGATAAAATGGGGACAAGTGGTATTTAGGTGCTTAAGCAGATAAAACAGAATCTGAGAGATTGAAATGATGGAAAGGACTCTAAAATTGCTTATTAATAGGTCACTACAAAAAAAAGAAGTGGAGCTTTCCATATTAATGGTATAATTATTATAATTATTACCGTTCGCGGAGATTTCCTAAATGAAAAGTTCTGGAGGATATCAAAGGGTTTCAAGAAGGCTGATGGCTTTGAATAGATTTAAATAGGATTTCAGGGACTGGAAAAAAAGTTACAGTGAAGTTCGGCAACATATTTGAGCACAGTAGCGCAATCTGCTGGAGTTCGCATCGCGTAAAGGAGCTTCAAGAATTTTTACTATTGGGCACTAACAAAATAATGCGGTTCAATATGTAGAAGAGAAAATAATGTGGAAATAAAGGATCGTATCAGACAATATGTAATGGATTAAAATCTCATCAGCGTGATCTTAAAGCGAGGATGATGAAGCGATAAAGGAATCTGACAGAACTTCGAAGGCGATGTGAATAAGAGCTTCCAAGGAAATCAACTTCAATAAAAGACTTATATTACTATTATATTTATTACTTATATACTTATTACTTATATTACACTTATATTTATTACTTATATTACTCTATTATTTTATGATATTTATGATATTTATTACTTTCCTCGTAATATCGAGCGTTTTCTTTCAATTCGTATAACATTTGCCTTCGCGCCGATCATCGATAAAAAATACGAAAGATTCGCTAAAAAATATTAGTGAAAAAAAGTTCAATATGTATTTGTTCAATATTTGTTGACCAAAAATTTTTTACTATTCTTTCACAATAAATAGATGAAAAATAACTTAATGTGGGCGCAAAGTGTGGAAATCGTTTAATCGTTCTTCGTTTGATATTTCGTTGCATGTTTCGAGTTGATAACGGAAAATTCTGCGAAAATAATCAATGGTATGTTTTAAATAAAATGATAAATTCAAAACAAAAATAAATATTTCCCACTTCAACCTCACAAAAAAATTTTCTTCGGAAAATGAGCTTTTCGAAAAATCGATATGTGTGCGACCTCGAAGAACATAAAACTGTTTTGAGTGACCGACAAAAGAGCGAAGGAGAGAACGCAAATTTCCGATGGCGCAAATCGACGGAAGTCGAATTTACCTCGAAATTTCATTTAATTTGGTTAATGGTTGTAAATTCTTTCGATGAGAAAAACGAATAATTGACTGATTAATTGATTTCGCGATTTTTAAAGCGAATTTCCGGCATTTTTCAAAGAAATGCATTTCAGTCCAATTAAATTTACGAAAAATTTCGTTTACGAAAACATTAAATAAATCGAATAACGAAAATCGAATAAAAAATCGCTTAAATATTTGAGAAATCGACGGAATAGAAAATGTAAAATTAGCGAAAAATAGTGAAAATAGAGAAAAATTAAAGGAAATTACAAATAACAATAAGCAAAATAAGAAGGAGAGAAAGAGGAAAATTTTATTGATGAAGAAAATAATTAGAAACTTTAAATTCAAAAATTTCCCGCAAAAAATGGACCGTATTCAGATAAAAAATCTGGAAGTTTGCCAATTCTGATAGTTTTAAAGGTATAAATCTCACTTGTGCGAAAAGAGAAGGAATTAGTGGGGAAGCGGTGCAAAGTTGATTAAATTGCTCCTCATCGGCAGCAATTTTCGATTTTACCAACGTTCCTAAAATTTTGGGGACTATAAGCGCTCCTTATCTCTGAGCGGTTTTTGCAGGTGAGCTGGGTAATGCTGGGCATGATCTCTGGCGCCGTAAATGAGTTGCACCGAGTTAGATTGTGTCCACGGGGATTCATTCATGAACGCGGCCAGTTTCTCGTGGTCTTCATCTTCCACTTCCTTAACGAAGATCGAATCAGTAAAATTTCAAGTTATTTTCCGCATTTTTAAAGTCTGCGAAATATTGTTTTCGTTATTAAAACAATTTCATGCGAATAAATTTTGGAAACATCGAAATAGAACCAATGATCTTTAACTTAACGCCTAACAGCATCGCTGGTCGTTGATTTCCACGGTTGTCTTCGGATTGTCAGATTGGCGAGCGATTTCTGCGTTTGTTCACTGAATTTCTTCGCACATTTCTGAGATTTTTCTAAAACTCCGCTCGAATAATTTTGCATAATTTTTGATTTGAGATCTCGAAATTTCAGCGCTCAGAGGGCACGTAATTTCTTCAAAAGAAGCAAATATCATTGTAGCATTTTCTAGTAGAACAATTTTTGGATTAGGCAGATAAATGATTATGTTTTGCGATTAGTTGCAGTTATTGTTAAAAATAAAATAGAATTATTCATTTTTATGGAAAGTGGCAAATATATAAATTCGAATGAAAACAAATGGATGAGTTAAATGAGTGATGCATTGGCAGAGATCTTTCATCTTATGCAGAAGGTCGTAAAGTTTTTTAAATCGTCTTTCTTCGGCAAGAGTTCCATTAAGCATATGGAGTACCCGAATGATTCGATCAAATGTCTAACGCAGATCGCATAAATATCGATAATTCGGCCCGAATACACAAGTTTTATACGACTGTATATCTGTAATAGCAGAGTTGTAATCTGTTATATGCACTCGCAAATGCGCGTCGCGGATGTGGAATTCGCGGAATTTCGAGAACTCTATTTGACAGCAGCTGTTTGTCGGACGTTTCAGCTTATTTGCAAATAGATTTCTGCTAATCTTTCCAATTTCCTTATTTTAAATCTTCGTACCATTCGACCATTTAACGCTCTTTGCTTTTATTTAGGATTTCACAAAATATTAACAATTTTTCGATTTTTCATTTATGAAAAATACTATTATTTTCACCGAATTGCGGTGGTTCTGTATGATGTTTTTCTTCGTTAATTTTTAATTAATTTAATTAAATTTACATTCAATTTATTGCATTATTTACGAATTTGTGAAGTGGTGTGTATGGACTCGAAATGATAAGAGATGATAAGAAAATGAGATTCACGGGAGGGATTTTTGTTGAATGTTTTTAAAAGGGATCTACTTCGCAAGTTCATGTGAAAATATTTTCGCAAAGCATCCAAATATCTGAGAAATGGATATTCAAATAATCCAATCAAGAGAATTTTTTATGCAGTTTTAACAAATGATCCGCAATAGTCAATGGTGCTTTCGGAATAAAAATCATCGTTATAAGCAGAAAAAGCTTCAAAATCTTTTAAAATCTTCACCGATATGCAGTTTAATTTTATATTTCTCTGTAATTTATAATAAGCAAAATCTGCCATCCATTTTTCTATGGTTGCGAAAAATATTTTAAATTTATAATAAAAGGGAAGATTGAAAAAAAGTTATAAAAAATTTAATATTTTCTGATAAGATTAACCAAATCATCAAAATTTTTATCAAATAATCAAAGAAGAAATTTCGCCAAAGTTTTTAAGGAAAAAGATAAGTGCGATATTACATGAAATATTCTTTGAATAAATTGTGAAATTAATAAATGAATTAATGAATTAAATGAAATGAAATGAAATGAATTTAATGAATTTAATAAATTTGTGATTCAAAGAAGATTGGTTTTTCGAGCCAAAATAATTGTATAACCTTATAGCCAAAAAATTTAAAATTTTCTTTCGACATTTTTATTTAAAATTCTTTTAAAAACATTCTTCTCAGTAAAAAAATTGTCTTTGAAAAGGGAACAATAATTGTAACACGTTGTACCTCCATATGTTTAACGAAAAAATAATTTTCGATAGCGGAAGAAGGGAATTTTCGAGGGAATTCGTGACGTTTTTCTTACTGTTGAGCAAATATTATTTATCAAAAAGATACAAAAAAATTTTTTAGCGATAAATAAACAAGTAATTATTATGAGACGGTCATTGTTGAAAAGAAATAAGATGAAAGAGATAGAAAGGAGGAGGAAAGAAGAAGGAAGAGGAAGGAAGAGGAAAAATGGAGAAAAGAACAGATATTAACAATAATTTATATATAAAGGAATGGAATATGTCGGTGAAGAAATATATAAAGATGAGAACCATTGTTGATTAATTGGTCAGCTGATTAGTTGATCACTTTGTGCACCATCGCTACCACCCTTCCGTTCTTCCTGCTGCAATTTATATACCCGAACACAGCGTACACATACACGCATACACACACACACACACACAGACGTACACGTACACATCCACGCACACAGACATAGACACAGAAATTCTGGTTTTTGTTATTTTTATCGGACAGCCTTTCTTTTTTATAAACCTTCGTTTTGCTTTCTTTTCCACATTTTCGCCTTTTGCATATTTCACTTTTAAACGTATTTATTTTGTTATATTCGACCTTTGACATTTCTTATCAAAATCAATTTCAACTGATAAATCAAATTAATCAAATGGGAATTACTGATAATGGATGAAACGAAGTGCACGTTCAGCTTATTACCATCCATTTTAATTAATTCGGATCAAGGTGATCGCTTTTTATTCAAATTCGTTTTGATTTAAGAAAATCGATTAAAAGCCGAGGCTTTTACGAAATTCATCCTTTTATTTTTAGAATAAATTTTTAATCGAGTTTTTGCTTTTTAATTATTTTAAAAGAATTTATTATCTTTAATAATATTATAATAATGCAATATAATATAATGCAAATTAAAGGTAAAGGATAATAAAAATTTTTTATCAGCAAATTTTTAAGTAAAAATTCATTGATTTATTTCCACGTTTTTTAAAATTTTAAAGATTTTTCTTAAGGAATTTATTTGTTATTAAAATATTTTTAAAAAATTTATTAAATTTATTTTCTTAATGGAAATAAAATGGAAACTTTATTTTATTAATTGAGCAAAAGTGATTAAAGTGAGAAGTGCTCATAAGCGCTCATCGTTTCCGTGTCTGATCTGACCGGACTTACTCCGTTGGCTGTTAGTACGACCGGAAATTTTGGCCAGCAAAGGCCATTTGGCGATTGAAATACAAATGGGGCGCCAACGCCACTCGGTTAAGGAAATTTTGCTGTTCCTGCAAAATCAAAAGAAAAACAGTAACAAATTTGAGAATTAGACAGTTCTGTCTTTGAAAATTTTGCAATCTCAAAAAATTTATTTTTGTCATTCAAAAAATTTGAGAATTAATAATTTTAATTTTCTAAAATTCTTTTTTTAAAATTTATTTAATTTTTAATCGAAATAAATTCGAAAAATTATCGAATTTTTTTAAATGAGAAAAACCTAAAACCTTTAACCTTGACATTTACAATTGAAAAAATTTTTTTTGAAGGCCAAATTTGGTGGGGTTTTTATTGGATTTTTCTTCATAAATGAACCCGGCTGCGATCCATTTTTCCATCAAATCAACTGAAAAAACAAAAAAAATTCGTCGCGTCTCTCTGAAATTAAAAGCAATGAAAATAAATCCTCGTTCTGTACAGTTTTTGCTTAAATTAACCGTTCATACCGTTCAAGTTTCGAAGCAAAAAATTTTAATAATTCAAAATATTTGATTGAATGGTTCCACCGGAAATCGCCATTATAATCGAGGCGACGATTATTTTATAACAACAAAAGGTCAAAAGGTCAAAAGGTCAACGAAGGTGGCCATTGAACTCGAAGTATGGCAATTAAAAAAGTAGTCTTCTTGCGCACAAATTTTTAGCCAATAAATTAAACTTTTCGACCTTAAAAAGAAAAATTTTGGCCCTTTGACTCCTCGAGTGATTATCAGCTTTTTCTTCATTTTATCATTTTCTGAAAAAATTCGAACAATTTTTAGTTTTCGTTTTTTAAATGTTGCTATTGGTAAAATCGATAGAAAAAAAAATGAGGTTTACACGAAGTGACACCAAAATTTAGCATTTGTTATCAATTTACATTATAATAGCACATTTTGAATCGTAGTTTTTACTTGCAGCATTCATCTTTCCATCGAACTTTTGGTGATAGCCTTCGCTTGAAATATTGGTTCCTAGTGGTGACGAGGCGGTGATCCTTCTGCACTTCTCTCTACCCCTATGTGACTCTCTGCGCTCTCATTCTAGGAGTCACTGCAGCCAACCACTGATGGTGGATGTTGTTTGAAATATGATAACATCTGTATTATATTCCGTCATCAGTGGTGAGGTCCGGGTGGGGGTTCTATTGTAAATCCTTAATAACCTGATAGTCACTGTGGTCGGCTGAAACGGTGAGTGCAGTCAGAAGTAATGCTATGTGAGCAAATCTTAGGGCTTTAAAAAATGATTGTAATAAACTTTGCAAGTTTTTTTAAAATTATTTTTACCGTTTTTGGTTTTAATAATTATTAAAAATTGATAAATATTTTGATAAATATTTAAATTGACAAATTTTACTTTCAATTTTGTTAGTCTGGAATTTTATGTTTATAATGGAATTTCATAGTTATTGATACTCGGTCAATAGTTCGTGACCTATCGAATATAAACTGCCCTGCCGTCGACCTAATTTTGAGGGGTCAAAGGTCTCTCAATCAATATTGAATCGTTAATTCCAGGTTTGAGTGACATAAAAATACCAGGCTGTGCCATATTAACTGGTGAAAAAAAGAAAAATATAGAATAGTAAAAGATTGTTAGAATCGATGATATTGCCAGAAAGAAAAAGAAAAATGTCTGTTGTAGAAATGGAAATGAGATGAGCGGACGAGAGATATCCGAGTGACTAGCCGAGACAATAATCCAGTTGAAGAGGAATAGAGAAATAACACTTGGGTAAAAATAAAAGGGACATTATTAGACGGAAGAACTATACGAAACAGATAGTAAATAGAAGATATATAAAGTAGAGAGTGTAAGAGAAAGTGAGGAATCACAAACTGGCACGAAAAAATTGGGATAAACGCGATCGGTTTAGAGAAGCCGTAGTTGTCACGAATTGTCGACGCTGCATTGAGTAGGTTTTGGCTTGTCTGGATTTCGGGTTTTGGGTTGTGGGTCAGCTGGTCGCGGTTGTTTTTGTTTGGCTTGATGCGATCTGGTCTAAAAAAGGCTTAGATCTGAACTAATGAACTGTTCTCTCCTTATTTAAACTCATGAATGGCTACACGACGCACAATACAGTTGAAAGGTCAGAATTGAAGGTTAGGAGGTCATTCTAGTGGACTTTGTTTCACCTTTTGACCTTCATTACTAATTTATTATTTCCTAGATTTCTTTTTCCTCATTGCTTTTGCTCTTTTTTTGAAAGTTATTTTTTGTTATTTCACTTTGCTTTATTACTTTTACTGCTTTGAAACAATTTAGTATTTTTTCAAGTTCTTCAGTTTTTTGAAGGTTTTTTGTTTTTTTTTAAATAATTTTGAATTAGATAATTTTTGCAGAAGAAGCATTGTATAGCGATCCACTAAGTGATTGTTGTCTCAGTGGTGATTTTAATATTTTGCAATTTCTGGAAGAAAACGAGTTTGTTTTTTGCCATTTTTTGCAATTTTATTTTATTTATGTTAATATTAAATTATTAATTATTAAATGATATTATCGAAATATTTTTCTCGTATAATTGCATTTACTTTAATAAAATTTTAGCGCGACAGTCGATAGCACGTTGGAGTCGATTCGGCAATCTGCCCAAAATAATCAACACTGCAACGTTATAGCAGCCGGTATGATGTATCAGAACCCAGCGAGGTTTATCTCATTTTTATTTCTGTTTGCTTGTAAATATTTCCTACCCATTACACAAAATTCTTGAAATGAGGTTTTTTATAAGTTATTAGTTATGACCAACGCTAACAGATTTACAGTTAAATGATTCTGTGCTTATCAGGTGTTATTATAAAAATAATGGTTGGAATGGTTCGCTGGACAATTGTTTTGATAAAATTAAGGGTAGAAATTTCACTGTATTTGTAAAGGTATTTTAGTGGGTTATCTGATGAAATAACAGGAAATTTAGATTGCTCTGATTATAGAAATTGACTTTTGGTTGATAATATTCTCTTTTTCTGCTATTCTTTTTTCTGCTATTTAAACAAGATGGGAAATTTCAGGTTGCCGGATAGTCCACCAATCACGGACATTAGCGGAGCAGGATCTTCTGGATCTCCAAGTTCTACAGTTGAGTCACCGTATTCACCTCCTGAAACTTACCAAAATTACCAAAGTATATTTTAAATATTTCTTTTTTAGTAAGTTATTTTTTACAGTTATTTAAATTTTCTTTTGCGTTTTAATTATTCCATCTTTTTTAATCTCGAAGTTTTATTTTAGTGGTACACAGTAATCAGAATGGCAGCAGTGGTCTTATACTGGGTGTCCATCCTGAAATTCCTGGACATATGTTAATTCCTCAGGAGATGCTACATCAAAATAATGCTAATAGTAATAACAATAATGGTAACAGTAATAATAGTAATCGAGTTCTTCAACATACATTACCTTCACCTCAGCCCGATTATATTGGTTCTTATCAGCCTCAGTCTTCTCAAGCTACAGCTATTTCTCAGGTTCATAATTTTTTTCCAGGAAATCTTATTTGATTATTTAGTTTATCATTTGCTTTTTTCATATATCAAACTGCTTAATTGATTATTTTGGAATGGGCTTTTCGAAAATTTTGCCAAGTTAACTTTGAAAAAAAGATCTGAATTTTCTTTCTTGTCTATTAGAATCAGTCATTCTCTGAATTTTCGCTAAAGATTTTTTTAATATAAAATATTTATAGGTCTCTCCTCCGTCAGTTAATATACGTCAGGTTGCGAACAGTTATATCGTGCAAAACAATGGTTACCATCATGTCGATCCATATAGCAATATTATCAATTCAACAACTAATGATGCAAATCTTGGTCCACAAACAAGTGATCAACCATTCAGTCGAAAACGTTTACGTACCGATCCTTCACCACATCCACCAACACCACATATCAAAAATGAGCCACAAAAAATATATACTCTTCCGAATCAGCTCACTGTGGTTCCTTCTCCGGTAACAACAGATGATTTTGAAGATGCATTTCATCAGCAAGCCATAAAGTTTAGTCGCTTTAACGAAGATCATTGGGCTACATTGTATGATATAAATCAAAGACCTCTACATCAATTAGAAATGCATGTTGTTGCAGATAAAGGATTCAATTATAGCACTATGGATAACTGCTTCGTAAATCAGAAGAAAAATCATTTCCAGGTATTTTTTCTTCAAAAATTTTTTGCTACCTCTATTTCTAGTAATATCACTCATATCTCTAATTTTTTCAATCATCTAAATTTTTGCAGATATCAGTACATATCGAGGCGATTGATAATCATCCTCCAAATTATGTCAAAATTGGGAATGAGCTGAGAGTTATCAGTGAATTTAAATTGGCATTTTGTGGTGTTAAAAGTGAAATGCCTTCATCAGAAATTCAAATAAAACAATCAACCACTGATCGACGGCCTGTACCACATGATCCTGTTTCGTACGTTTTGGTTTAATACTTTTTAAAATTATTTTTAACTATTGGAGTGTAGTATGTCTAGCAATAATAATGTTATCACAGAGCGTCGCCTTCGCTGGTTAGGGCACATTTTCCGTCGCCCACCACAGGACTTGATACTTATTTCGTTACTTGCTAAGCGTTTGATGGTTTGCGTCAAAAGCGAGGAGGGCCAGTCAAGACCTGGACTGATACTGTCAGGAAAGATTTTGAACGTGTAGGGGGACCAGCGATATATTGACTTAGACGATGAAAAAAGGAATGGCTTCTATTACTATCGACGATCCCATCAGATCGCGCCTCTTGAAAGCATCGTATCCTTGTCGCCGTTGCAGCCAGCCTAACCAGTTAGAAGATGAAGAAGAAGCATGTCCTTTAGAATGGTTGTTGCTCAATTCCGAGCGCCAGTGCCGAAATTTTACTCCATGCAGATGTAAACCTGTCCAAAAATTCGGTTGGTGTGATCTTGGCTCACCTGTATTTCTATCGCCAAGGAACTCCCCGGCATATTTATCTAGTGCGACAAGAGCGAGTGTAGGCAGTAATGATGATGGCTCTTGAAAAAAAAAGGTAAGCTGTGTGTGGAGTATGGTATGTCTGAAAATTGGACATACGTGTTGATGAGAACGATTTCTAGAATGTATTGCTTATTTTCTTGCTAAAAATAATTTCCTTTTGAAGACTTGAAATTCATGAAAGACGCATGACGAAGGTTACTGTACCTCGGCTACATTTTTCTGAAACTACGATGAATAATCAACGAAAGAATGGTCGGCCAAATCCTGATCAGAAATTCTTTCTTCTTGTGGTTCGCCTTATTGCATGTTCGACAGATGGGCATGAAGCCATTGTGCAGGCCTATCAATCTGAGAAAGTTATCGTTCGAGTAAGTTGTTTTGTGATTGTAATAAAATCAAATTATTTTTCATTGTTTAGAATGTGTAGAATTGATTAGAATTTTAAGTAATTTAATTGTTGAAAAAATTAAGAATAGCTTCATCCTTAAAATTTTTCGTTTAATCTCTTTATTCTTATTTTATTCTGTTCTGTTCTAAAATGACTGACAATAAACTAGCTTTAAACAAATAGAAGGAAAAGCAATCTGAATTAAATACAATAGCAATTTATTCATATGCTTTATAGGCTTCAAATCCAGGCCAATTTGAGCCTCCAGATTCTGATGCAACATGGCAGAAAAATGGATCAACACTTTATTATAACAATGGATCCGTAGCAATAGGAACTGATCGAGCTTTGGCTCCACTTACCGTCGGCGGGGATATTTACTGTTCAGGTGTTGTTCATAGGCCTTCTGATCGACGAATAAAAGAGGCAATTCACGAGGTAGTTTGTGTAAAAATTTGAATTTATCATAAATATGCATAAATATGTACAGGGACTGGAAAAAGAAGAGAAAATTGAAGGCCAAAGTTCCAACGCTAATAGGAACACCACACTTGTTAATTGGGAAAGATTCTAGGAATAATGTGAATAAGTGATTTCTATCTAGAACAGCTTACAACTGGGAACAGCTATGACACTGTGGAGAGTTCTCAAGATTCTAAGTGAAGAGTTTTTTTATTTATATATATATGATGACTTGAAGTTATTTTGATTCCGTTATATTTCAGCAATATTTTATTTTAGGTCGATACGAAAGACGCTATGTCACGTCTATCGCAAATTCGTGTTGTAGGTTATTCATATAAACCCGAAATCGCGGTTCAGTGGGGTTTATCAGAAGAAAATCGTCATCGTGTTGGTGTAATTGCTCAAGAATTAGCAGAGATTCTTCCTGATGCAGTTACAGATAATGGTGATTTCTTGCAGGTACTATTCGTCAGAAATTGTGTTTCTTAGTTTTTAGTACTCTTTCGAATACAGATTAATAGGTTGATGATTCTCTTTTAGGTTGATGATTCTCGAATATTTTACGAAACAGTTGCTGCTGCAACTGAACTTTGCCGTTTAACTGGTAATTTAGAACATAAAATAGAAGCTGTTGAAAAATTATCTCATAAACTAGCTAAGCTTCATCGTCGAAAGTTCAAAGATGTTGGCAGTCTTGCAAGTGGTCTTAGTGAATTCGGCATTGGAGATAAGAGTTTTATGTCATCACGCACTTCTCTTGAATCATCTGCGCCTTCTTGTATTTCTCGTGATAAAAAGTGCTATAGGTATTGATTGCTTTTTAAATATAATTGCATAAAACGATAACCAAAGTAATTTTAATTTCCTCATGATATCACTTAAAGATTGAGTTTTAAAGGAGTGATCGGGAAAGATCTGGTCAAAGAAATCTACACTGTAAAAATCCTGCATGTCAGCAATATGATTCATTTTTGTGCAATTCGAAATTTACTCATGCTACCATTTTATCACTCGTCGTTGTCATGGCTGTTTGGTGATTTCTTTTGTATTCGAATTTGTGCGCGAATTTTTTTTGGAAATTTCTCTGAAAATCTGGATTTTTTCGATTTCTTGCTAAGATATTTCATTGGTTTCATTTGTAATAATTTTATTTGCAGTTTAATTGCAATGTCTACATTATATGTACTTGACTGGCATCATCGAACATTTGGTTATATGAATAATTTTCAATTAACTAGTGAAACACCACAACCGGAGCAAAAAATTGGTAATATTGTGCAAGTTAATCATGGACACTGGATTCCACCTATACAGCCTAATGCGCCACCGATTACTGTCAATTGTGATCTTTCTTCTTGTCATACGTACTGTTGTACTGACGCTGATGAATTTTATGCTGCAAATGAATATCATAAGGGGGTTAGTGCGATTTGCCATTTCTTTCATTTACATTTACCATTTTATCAAGGTTTTTTATTAATTATTAGCGTTATTAGCGTTTTGTCTGTTTAGATCGTTAACACGAATTTCAATTTGCCCATATATCAATCTGGCCTTATACCTCGTTTACCGATCAAAACGATGCCTACGGCTATACAGTCTCCTCTAGCGTCTGGTGTTAATATCGAAGTCTTAACTGTTAATAATTTTACAATTGATGAGCGGTACTGCATAGAAGATAGCTGCAAACCGCGTCGAGGCCTCTATACTTTGTATGTTCCTGTATCTCCACTTATGCCTACTGTTCCACTAGAGATAAAAATAAAGTAAGTTTTACATAATTAATGATTTGTAAAGTTATTTATGGTATTTTTTGGCGGACTAATTCAGAAATTTTTATCGCAATGTTTTTTCAGCACTGCGGACGACAAAAGTTACGTGGACAGCTGTGGGACTCTTAGAGATTTCGCGCATAAAGCTTGCACCTTGTACCACCATTCAACAAGATTTGATCCAAACAAAATATCAAATTCGAGAAAAGTATTAATTTATTTTTATTTGAGACCTTTCATAGTTTTATCACCTTTTTTCTTAGCTATGTGTGTAATTTTTTAGGATATTTGATGAGTAAATCTTTATTGCAGATAACGGACGATATTTTTGAGATATCGGTAGGTGATTTTATGCAAAGTGCATATCGCTTTCGTATCGGTTATAGTACAGAATCATGTAGTATGAGTGAATCGCAACGAGGAAGAAGTTTTGATGAATATAACATTGTATTTTATCGTCAGTGTCAAAAGTCGGAGTAAAATGCTATAAAGCCAATGAAACAATATATTTGCTTTGGATAATATTGAACCGATTATTGTTTCTGGTACCTCAACGTGCTTTTCTGACCACTATTGGCAAATTGAAAATTTATTTTTGATAAATTTTACCAAAAATTTTTTCGTGGTCTCTCTTTATTTAATAGTTACTTTTTTGATCTGTTAAAACGAAGATTTATATCATAAATCTTCTCTTTTAGTATAGAAGGATTGCTTTTTTCCAAATATTTCGATTTTCTTATTTTTTTATATGATTACATTAGATAAACCTTTGAATATTGTAGCTATATGGATCATTATAAATTAATTAATTAATTATTCATTTATAATTTACCACATTCAGCCAGTTTTAAACAATTTGAGTTAAAATTTCCATTCGTTAATCCAACTATTTATTTTTTTGAACATTCCTAATTAAAGTGTGATAAGAAACCTCGCGGACAGACGTTGTGTAAAATTCGATGCGCCGTTGTTTTAACCAATATTGTTCGTTGTTTTAACCAATATTATTCGGTAAGCATTCTTTTCCTCAATTCATCTCTCATGAGTCTCATTTATCTTTACATATTCTACTGTTCTAAACATTGTTATTTTCATTATTTGATATTGTACTATAGTTATTTTTTTCTTTTCCTTTCCATTTTATTTGTCATTCATTATATTTCTAAAAATAAGTTAATTTTTTAATAATGGTAATTTCCTTCCACTTAAAAGTGAATAATTATAATGACTACTATGGAAAGTTGTTAAAATTTGTTTGGTGTTTTATTTTTATTTTCAAAGATTGTATGAAAATATAAATATTTTTAAAAGTAATCACAATGTCTTATTTTCAGATAATAGGCTAATTAACTCTGAATAATGAAGATAAATATTTTATATATATTTATCAACTTTTTTTAAATTGTATGTGAAAGTTTATCTATTAATGATTTTTTAATTAATGTTGAATGAAACAAAACGAAAGAAAAAAGTCCACAAAAATAAATAAATGAGCAATATATGGACAAAAGGAAAAAAGTATAAAGTATAAGACCTATCCATTTGATTCAATAATTTTCCCCATATTAAATTTTAGTTTACTGAATGATTTACTCTAGCTTTTTAATAGAAAATCATGAGTCAAATGTTATCAAATAATTATATTAGAATTTAAAATGAGAAATGAAATGACAGATGAAGATATAAAGTAGAAAAAAAACACCAGCACTACTAAAAATAGATATAAAAATTTCACAATTAATGATTATTTATTTGAAGATATAATGATGAAGTCTGTCTAGTGCATTCTCCATCAAAACTAAAGCTGAATTTGCAGTAGCTGCCATCGGAAGATATCGCTAAATTTATTAAGGTTATTGAAATCGTTATTTAAATTCTTAAAAACTACCAAAAAATAATAGAAAACAATCAAGAAAAGTCGAAAATTCATACCTATAATAGAATCAGACTGAGGACCAAATGCACAAATGCAAATATCGCTCGATTTCATTGAGAACGGCAGTTGGAATTTTGAAAAACTTCCTTCACCCGACAAACCAATTAAATTCAACGTGTCCAGCAAACTTTAAAGCAACACCACAGATAATAAAATGAAAATCTTCTAAGAAAAAAAAATGAAAATTTGGAAAAATATAAAAGATGAAAACAAAACAAAATAAAATAACTGAATTAAAATTTTAAATACGCATACTTTTTAGGTTTTTTCGGCTTTTTCCAAGAGAATAAATGCACAGTAGTGTGATTACTGGAAACGCACAACATTGATGAATCAAATGAAAAATTCAGACTAAAAATTAATGAAAAACTTACAAATATTTAAATTTGAACCTCAAAGACAAAAAAAATTTATATATATATATATATATATATAGGAATATATTTAAAATTTCAAATCGAATAAAAATTATCTTTTTAAATTCATATTGTTTAATAATTATGATTGAGACCTAAAAATATTAGCAGAACTCGAACCACGCCGCAATTCGTGCAATAATAATTTGGTTTGCGTATCAAAGATGCGGATAATGGTACCTTTCACCGAGCAAGTCGCCAGCTGCTTGCCTAGAAAAAATATTAATGTATTGAAAAAATATTGAAAAAATATTTTTTATTTATCTGAATTGGTGATGGGCAAAAAACAATATTATAGCTTGAATCACGGCAGCCAGAAATGCGTTCTTCTAACGAAACCTTTATGGAACCGTCATGAAATTACCATTAAAGCGAAAGCCTGTATCGATATAGCCGTGATTCGTCCGATCTTACTATATGGCTCTAAGACATGGCCAATGAGAGTGGAGGATATTAAGAAGTTAGCCTTTGACCACTCTTGTCTTTATATTAAGGTACATATTACGGGCCCGTCGACGGATAAGATATCACACGACCGCATCCACATTCGTTCAAATACCACTTGCATAAATAATGTTATCACAAGCGTCGCCTTTGCTGGTTAGGGCACGTTTTCTGTCCACCACAGGAGTTGACGCATATTTCGCTATTTGCTAAGCCATTTGATGGATGGTGCCAAAAGCGAGGTGGGTCAACCACTTGGACTGATACGGCCAGAAAAGATTTTGAACGTACAGATGGACAAAAGGAATGGCTTCTATTACTGTCGACAATGGCAGCAGACTGCGATGGTTGGAAGCGTCGTACCTTTTTAGCCGCTGGAGCCAGCCTAACCAGCAATGGTGAGAGCTATTAGAAAAAGAAATTGGTGATAAGATAGTCGATATGAGATATATTGCTTCAATTAAACCCAAGGTAGGTTCGATGTTCGATGTAATGTGAAGATAAATTTGGCATCAAAAGTAAAATCTAAGTAATACTGCGTACCACCATTTCTGAGCACCACTTCTACCGATGGAATCTTAGTGTAATAGATAGCAGAGCCAGACAAAGCGGAAATACATTCCTAGAGCAACTAGAAACTGATCAAAATTATGGATGATAATTATGGAAATATTATTTAGGAATATGTAGAATGACTCAGTGGATCATTTCCAAAGCCGATGCTGAAATTCTTTCAGCTGGAATAAACCTTTCAAAAAATGCGGGATGATGACTCACCCGCGATGAAATGAAATCCTGAAATCCTTTCAACATCTTGCTCTTTTTAGTTCAGAATTTGGCCGTTTTATTTCAAAAAAGTAAATAATATTTCCATTTTTTTTTAACAGCTTTCACCACTACTGGTTACACTTGCTTCGCTGACTTGTCGCACTGGGAAAATATGCCAGTGAATCCTTTGGCGGTAGAAATATTATAACTACATTAAACTTTAACTTTCATTCAACTTAAAGAAGAATTGGATCATACCTCTTTGCCGGATTTTTTTAAGATCCCAGAGAAAATCATTCATAGTTATCCTTTTTGACAGTACAAACATAAATTATTTTTTAAATAGGAAGTAAAATTTTTTTAATGAATATGAATACCTTCAGAACTTAAAAATCGCAACTATGTCACTGACCAAACATTAATACAATAAGAATTTGAACAAATATCCCACTAGTTTTATGTTGTCTATTTTTCTTTTAATGATAATAAAGATAAATTTTGTAAAAAAAATGAGGTTTTTTTTCGCTTATTTCTTTCATTTTTTATCTTCAATTATATTAAAGTTTATATTAAAGTTTAATGTAGTTATAAGAAGCCAAAGACAATTTTTCTTCACCAAATGCGAGAAGCCAAGGATTTCGACATTCCTGAACTAAACTAGTGAGTTTTGAAAAAATGAAAAATGCAAAAAATACGCGAAAAAATAAACAAACCTGTAGAGTTTAAAGCAATCGCTGACAATGGTCGAGTATGAGCTTTCAAAATTGTAGGTGGTTCATTTGGAACAGCAAGATTTATGCATGCTACTTCAGCAGAAGAAGATGGTGCAGGAAAAACTAATAATGAATTTTCCGATGATGGACAAAGACAGCAGAGTCCCAGAGGATTAGTGCTTGAACAATAAATGTGAAGCTTTTCAGGAGTTTCCGTAAAACTGAAAGATTTTATAACAGCTGAATTTATGTAAACAACTTTATTTTCAGACATTTCAAAAACTCCAAGCAAAATTCAAAATTCAATATTAATTTTTGATTGAGTACAAATCTGAAGAGCCATAAATATATTGATAACTTAGACCAAATATTACCTTAAATATCTTGCATTCACTCTAATCCTTAACAAGAGAATTACAACTATAACTAGAAATAATTAGAAATGCTCTCTTTAGGCTGGAGAAATCTTTATGGAGTCGTCATGAAATCATTTTAAAAACATCCGCTTCTATATTGCTGCAATCCACTCGATTTTGTTACATGGCTGCGAGACATATAGCTAATGAGAATGGAGGATATTAATTATTATTTATTTCTGACCAATCATGTTTAAGATTTATTCTACGAGTCGCTGAGCGGATATAACCTCACATAACTGCATCCATCTTCACTCAAATTCTTCTTCTAACAGCTATTATTATGATTAGACTGGCTTCACTGCTAAGACAAAGGTTAGACATTTCCAAGCGTGATGCTATCGTCGACAGTAATAGAAGCCATTCGTTTTTCCATCGTCTAAGTCCATATATTGCTAGTCCACCTATAAGCTCAAAATCTTTTCTGACTGGATCAGTCCAGGTCTTGATTGACCCGCACCTGACGCCAACCATCACAGAATTCGGCAAATAGCGAAATATACGTCAACTCTTGTGGTGGGCGACGAAGAACGTACTATGTGATGGTAGCATTAATGCTGGTGGTATTTGAACTATTTTCATTCAAATAACTAGTGATGAGTGGCGTTAAAAGCGAGGAGGACAAATAAAAATCTGGACTAATACGATTAGGAAAGAATTTGAACATATAAGTGAACCAGCGATATATGAAATTCTATTACTCCAGCGATGGCGTCGGATCGATCGGCTTGGAGACAACTTACTTTTATAGCCAGTGAAGACGGCCTAATTACTAATGGTGAAAGCTGTTAGAAGAAGAAGAAAGGAAGAATGGATGAATAATAACAATGGAATATGAAGAAAAATTAATGTACTACAATGTTATTTTAAAATTAATTTTAAAAAAAACCTATAAATATGAATGCTTGAAAACAGCACAATAATAATACGGTCACGACGCAACCTAATTCCTTTAACATCGTTCGGCATTTCGATTCGAGTTATTTCTTTGTGGTCAACGATATCCCAGATCACAGCTTTAAGAAACTTCAATGATATATCAAATCAAATCATATACCGAAGGTTATAAAAAAATATCTTCTTGAGCAATTACGCAATTATTTGCTTGATAATAGCATCTTAAAAAGTCATCATAATTTCCTTGGAGTTTTTAAAGTTATAAAATTAGCAAAATTATGATGCATTTTATAATTTTTGTAAGTTCTAATCTAAATCTTTATCAATTTTAATAATTTATATTTTTTCAATGAATCTAATTTTATTTGATAATTCACAGAAATAAACATAGTAAAATATATTAAAATTTGGGTTGATAGCATAATATTCAATTAATTAATACTAAAGTCTCAATGATTAAATTCAACACTTTACTCTATCCCTAAAATTAAAAAAAAAAGAAGAAAAACCTAAATTTGTAGGGAACGCAGGAAAATCGCCACCTCCAACAATAATTATATAATTGCAACGAAAAAGCATTTCAATCAGTGCAATTCCACCATCAAATTTCTCTTCATGGCACTGTTTTAAAGGATCGCTATTGAAAATACATAAGCCGGTGCTGAGTCCACAAGCAAAGCAACCGAAATCCTGGACATATAGATACAATTTATTAGAAAACTCTTCCATCGTTAAATTATAAGTACTAATTTTTCTTATTATCACCATTTCTTTAACAAGAAGCACCATTTCTAACTTGGATTACGCTTAAGATGAGGTCATTTCGCCAAAAAGCCAGTTGAAGATAGAAGTAAAAGGATTCCCAAGGTGCCGTCCGAATTTCATGATTACAGGCTTACAACAGTGAGAAGCAAGAACTGAATCCAAGACATTTGACTACAACTGAAGTAACATTCCATTTTATCATTCTATTCCCCAAATAAAATACTTCATTCCTATTAAAAAATGATGGAAATATGATATCCAGCAAACGTCAAAATTTTACCTGATTAAAATGGATAGATAAAACTCTGCTTGAAGCTCGCATTTGATGAATGTACTGATTAACAATAAATTATATTTATTTTCACTGCTTTCACTATTGAATAAATTTCTAAAAAAATGAGAGGATAAATAAAAGAAATAACAAAGATTCTATAATTCTACAATTGTTTTAAAAAATGTAATCCTTTATTTTCAGACTAAAAAATGAAATTTAAAATAAATAAAAAATCACTTAAAAAATTCGCCTTCAAAACCAAAATAATAATTAAAAAGCTACCTTTACCTACCAGGGAAATCCCATTTTGTTTCGAACCACTGAAAATACAGAAACGTCATGCAAAAAATAAAGGCAAGAATTTACCCATCATTTTAGTGCAAAAATACCTAGAAAAATGATTAAATGGTTATGTTACCAATAATAAACATAGAATTCAATAGTTGATAATCTTTTTAGAAATCCCTTTTAGAATCCCTTTTACAGCGAAAACAATAGAGTCCTTTGAGAGTGGTGAAAGCTGTGGACTTCTGTGATAACTTCAGTGGACCACCTTTAGGAAAACTACCAAAAAAACAATGCAGCGCAGATAAAAAATATTAAAAATTATTATATAACAGATTATTTAATTAGAAAGGAAGTGAAGATTTCACAGAGAAAACCCCTCAGACCTTTTCTCTGAAATTAGCAACGCGATCAGTGCGATCGTATTTCATTTGGCACTGAAGAGATGTCGGGGAAGCAAACAATTCCCCGCGGGTTTCAACCAGTTAACTCCCTAAAATGATAGCCGTTCTGCTGACCAAAGAATTGACCAATTTTAGCGAAACAAAACAAGCTGCAGCGGAAAAGACTAATTATCTCTGCGGTTTATTTTAATACCAATTTCCGAAAAAAATAACGAAATGACCCGCTTGACCTCAGAAAAAGCAACGATGATTCCCGAAAGCGTTCCATATCAAATCTGACTTTCAGTAATAATTTGATTAATAATAGCTCTATATTTAAGCTCATAGAGTGGGTGAGCTGGGGATGGCGAATACTCGTTCTATAGAAGCCTACAGAATATGCTGAAGGTGGTCTGTTTCAGTTTAAGGTTGGACGTGAACTGATTGCAGCAGTGCACTGCAGTTTCGCTCCGTAAATTCCAAGTCAAAAAGAATAAAATTAGTAAAATATACTTTTTTATTTGATTTCACAGAAAATTGAACTTCCTACACTTTTGGAATTCGATGTGCCCAGTGTCTCCACAAAGCAAATATCTCTCTGAATAGTCAAATGATACATTTGTTGCACAGGCAGCCAAATACCTCCGAGGCGACCTGGTTAATGGCGGTCAATGAGGTACTCCATCAACTGAATGGAAAGTGACTTATTCTTGACCAGTTCATGAAATTCACCATTCACCACTCCCTTGCTCAGCAGCTGAACTGATTTGATCCCATGCTGCTGTTGTTTTTCGCTTATTTATAAACCTGGGCAACGTTTTCAATAATTCCGCGACCCTCGGCTTGTCACAGAAAATTGAGTGCTTTTATACAGTATGTTAAGGTAGTATAATTTGTTTAAAGTTTAAGCATTTCGTTATTGCTAAACTTCGATAGGACTCGGTAGGCAGAAAGCGAAATGTAGCACCGAAATAAGTCCGAGATTTCGTGGGCAGTGCAATTTTGTGAGTTGCAACAAGAGGATAGAACACGTTTTGACCGTAGTACTGTAGTATAAGAGAGTTCGTATGATATAGGAATAGATTAGAGACAGCATTCTGAAAAAAATTTTAAAATTTATAAATTTATACTGTGAGATATTTATGAAAGAACGTTATAATGCTACGTACAAATGATGTTCACTTTGTGAAATGTGAAAGGATGGTGGTCTCAGTAGTTGCTCTGACCTTATTTTGAGATCCACTAGTCTGAGGAATCGCTCCGATAGATAATTCATTGTTCATGATTGTTCATCACGAAGTTTACCGTTTTTGCCATTCATTTACTCTGCGGAATTAATCCCATGTTCTTCATTCCTTTTTACCATTCCTTTATCACTTTCGATTCTGATGAAATATTCGCGAAAAAAGTCAAATTAAGATAACCCATCTCACAATTCAGCAATTTTGATTGAATCCAACTTATCTCGAGAACACGTCGTAATGAGAACACGTTATAATTAAGAGACAGCAGCTTCATCACAGTACGCAGTGGAATTCACTGATTGCTGGTGCAGCGATTATTTTCTAGTCATGTCGAGCGGGGAATGTGGGTTCGATTCCTTGTTCTTTAATCGAAGCAAATATGCTATTAAGAATGATCGACCCGTACTTCCATCCCGATGAAAGCAATGATTTCCAGTCGAAAAGATCTGATCGATGTTTTAAAGTATATCTTCATTTTATATCTTATATCTTCAAGTATATCTTTAAATAGATCAACTTTTCGCATGAATCACACATTTATTTCTTGAAAATATATTCCTTTATCACTGATCGGAAACATTTTCATTATCATTATCGGAAAGGACTTAAAAAGTTACATTACTGTTGCCTCTAAACCATTTCACTTCAAACATCGATATCACAAAAAATCTTTAAAATATCTCATCGGGAATAATGAATGAATCTAACTGATACAAGTAAGTTAAAAGTTTCAAATGAATAAGGTTAAATTGATAAATTCAGTTGACGAAAAATTATTTAAAAACATGTTCGGAGAGTATGAGAGGAGACAAACTCGTTCCAAATAATTGTTAACAGAACTTTTCGTTGCTTTTTACGATCTCTTAACAGTTATTCATTCTTAATAACTCATTACATTTGAAGAACTTTTGAATTTTTATTTCTGCGCTCAAATTTTTTAATATTTCCACTAAATTTCCTCTTTTTGTTATATTGAAAAATGCATTTTCTTTCTTTTGTGTAACAAATGATTTATTTATTTTAAAGTACACTTTATAAATAAGCGAATTTTGTTAAAAATTTTTATAAAATATAAAAATTGTTTTACATAAAAATTTCTATTTTAAGAAAATTTTTAGAATAAATATGGGATAACAGAATTCTTTTTTTTTTTGTTCTTATTTCATTTATTATTATCAATTTTATATTTTCAATTACTTGCAAAAATTTTATTTAAAATAAAATACTTTTTGTTCTTCTGATTCAGTTGCATTATAACTGGTTTGGCTCGCTACACTGGCGACTATGCCAGAGCGTTTCTAAGCCTGCCTATCCTGAAGCCACTCTTTTTTCTGCCGTCTAAGATCGTATACTATCCTATAGGCCGCCTATGCACTTAAAATCTCCGCTGACCGTATCGGTCCAAAATTTGATTGGACTTCCTCGCTTTTGACGTCATCAGTCAGATGATTTACCAAGCAGCAAGAAATGGGTTAATTCTCGTGAAGCACGGCAAAGAACATGGCCTAAGCAGTGCAGGCAACGTTTTGTGATGATTTTTTAGTGCAAACAGTATTCGGGATGGATGTAATCATATGAAACTTTGTGTCAAGAATGATTAAAATTAGTTGGCTTCTATCGCTCTCAGTGGCCATATTTCGCCGTATAGCAGAACAGGGCGTATTACAATCAAATACGAATTTCTTTTTAAGGTTGATTTCAGTGTGATATTTCGTGGAGGCTTCACCAGATGAAAAATCTTCTGTCCGACTTTTATCTTCCGTATTAGGTACAAGGAATCAATAAGTAAAAGGGCCCAGACACCTAAAGTCCGACATTTCGAAAATGATATAAAAGCGAAAAAAATGAGCAAAAGGGATCCAGAAATTACAATAGGGATTGGGCGTTGATGAAAGAATTCTTCTTTTAGTACCACCGCCATTTCTTCTACCTACTAAGAGGAAAATCCATCCATAGAGAAATGAGATAGGTGCACAAGCGGATTCTATATTGCCACCATGATCTTCTCCGTGGCAGTTCGAATACACATTGATCTCAGAATAACTTATAACTTATTACTGGTCAACTATTTATTCGACTAAAATAGAAGTGTCAATTAATTTAAGTTTATACTCAGTTTTTGATTCTGAAAACTTTCAAATCAGAAATTCATCAAACACAAGTTCGAGTCTTATGACTAGAATGTTCATTTTCTCCTTTGCTTATGCAAAAGTTATATTACTCTTAAAAGTTGTATTACTCTTCAACTGTAAGCAAAATATTTGATTCTTCTCTGATTTATGAAATTCACCTTTAAAAAAAAGCATTAAAAAAGTCAATTAAAATTCTTCGATCTATTTTCTAAAATTGTTATCTAAATAACGGCGAAAATTTTTTTGAAACTTTTGTATTTTTTCGTTTTTGTCGACAGTCATTGCCTCTTCTTTGTCAAAACTTGTTACTACTTTCATTATTCCTTAATTTTTCTACAAATCTTGTTTGAACTGAATTAATCACAAATTTTTTAAAGTTATATATAATCTCTTATAGATATAAATGATTATCACCTTAAGTGGAGCTGCTATTTGCACTTAATTCTCTAGCAGAGCAGCCCCAATAGTCAGCGAAGCTAGCCAAATCAAAAAAATTAGCACTGTTAGGATAAGATGAGAAATTTATCGACAATTCTAATTATAAATTTAATGCCCAAAATACTATCTATAATTTTTTTTTCAGCACAATTATTTTTAATATATATTTTCGGATTAGATTTTCTCGAAATGTCCAGACTTTTCGGGCAAATATTTTTCGTTGCTGTAATAAATTCCTTATCCTTGGATACCTTTTCAGGAAAGACAAATAAAAGTAAAAATTTTCTGGTAGGAATTGTTAGTTTTAATTATTCTATAATTTATTTTTAAATTGCTTGTTAGTCGAAAAATCTAACAAATGAAATTTTCATGAAATATTTTAAATTGGACTATGGTTGATCATTTTCTGAATTCGAATATTATATTGGAACAATAATAATAATTACAAAAAAGCCTAAAAAAACTAATATTGTTTTCTAACTGTAATTTTAAGAATCTAACGCTTTGTGATCAACTATTAAATATTGCATTAAATGTTAATCCAAAGGAATTCGATGAACTAAGCACGTCGAAACAAGTTTCGTATCTCATCATTTTTCATATTTTTCGTTTTAGAAAGCAATTCTTTATTTAATCGTCAAAAGCTTTGCCACTGAAGACCATATTCCGCATGCTTTTTAACGCTTTTAATTGCATTAATAAAATTTATTATCTTATAATTTGCAGTAAACCCCGTTTTACAGTTAAACAAATTTTTTTTCAATTTTTCTAATTATTTTTCGACAATTACGCTATATTTATTTTATTACAGACAATATTACTTCTAACAAGGTTACCGGTGACTGTCGGAATTAGTGATGTGTCACGAATAACGAAGGTTATTAATTTCTAATAATATTTATTCTTTTTCTACCTTTTGCTTTGTCATTTCTATCCCAAATCTGTTATAAAAATGAAGAGAAATCCCATTTTTATGGCAATCTTTGGTTATCCGTGCAAAATGGAGAATTCGCGATAATCAAGAAATGGGCGTCAAAACCAAATCCCAGTGACAGGGAACTTATTATCGAATATCTGATGAATGCGTATTAGTTTGACAGAGATTAAGGCTCATCTCACAGAGCAGATAGAACGTTTCAGAAACGATGATATATGATGATATCCTTCGAGTTTATAGCGAATTTCACTATTCTTAAAACATTTTGTGCTGGTTAATTGCAATGAATTGTGCAAACAGACGTTACTTAGTTCTTTGATGGTTTTATTCATCAATATTATTCAAAATTAACGCTACGAAATTATGCAAAAAGCGCTAAGAAATGACTGAAAAAAGAAAAACATTATCATGTTCAGAAGTAAAAAAAATTATGTGGTAAGCTCTGCGGTCGTACTGGCAAATGGATTTTGCAAAATTTATCGTCTTTTCAACTGAATCAATTTTTGCAGGATTTTTGCGAAAAACAGTGCTCGTTTACTTTTGCAAAAAATTATCATTTCTATCTTTTTTTAATCAAAATATTCCAACTAATTTAAATTTCAATGCCTAAAATTAAGGTACTTTTAATGAATGTGCGAAAAAGAATTGCTCAACAGGCTTACGATTGTGAAATCGGTGAATCAAATGCATGTAAGTGATTTATGTGATTTATTTTCTGCTTTCTTTCCCACCTTTTAAAAAGACAAAATTTTTATACGCTTCACTCGCAGATAACCAATGCAACAATGGATTTAGAAATGATTATTATTATGCAAATTTTGCAGATATCTGCAATAATTTATCGAAATTGACATTTATACTGGAAAGCAATCCATTACAGTCGCTATCGGAAGAAACAAAAACACTGTTACGGTTGAATAATCGAAGAAAACTTAATGACGAAGATATTGAAATTGTTATCAATTATTTTTTAAAAAATTATGTCGAACAGTTGATGTATTTAATGAATTTGTTTTGCAAATAATAAGATAAATATTTATGATAAGTAATAATTGACAAAATAAATTATAAAAATAATTTGCAACAATTCAACATAATTATTAGTGACACAAACAAATTTTTTTCTAAGGCGCTTATCACTTCTATTTTACTGGCTTATCGGACGATGCAAATTTTGCCATTTGGCGATACGAGGAAAAACAAACTATATAAAATTAATAAAGTTAATAAAATTAATAAGTTTTAATAAAATTATGGTCCAAAATTTCCTAAAGATTTTTTAAAAAATGAGTAATCATTTTTGCTTCTCCTATATGATTTCATAATTCGTGGAAATTATGGAATTTGTCCAAAATTTTCGAAAGTAAGTTCTTTTTCTTTTAAAATGAATAATCATTTGTGCTTCTACTACTTCTACTACTATATAATTTTATTATTTATTTTTTTTCTGGTTAGATCCGCTGACTTATCGGACTTACCAAATTTCACTAGAAATATTATATGTAGTAAAAGCACAGGTGAGTCGTCAGCATTGTCCATATTTTTTGAAAAATAAGTTTGTTCCAACCGGAAAACGAACTCCTACATGGGCTCTCTGAAATAAGAGCAAAAACTCACTAAGCCATTCCACTCCCTCTTGATTCCATAATTCCTGGAAATTCCCTTTTTTTGAACAATTCATAAATAATATAACATTTTTCATTTAGCCATTTTGTGGTTATTATTTGAAATATTTTAAATTAGATATTTAACCATTATTACTGAAATTTGTTTGATTTTAAGGTAAAATCCGCCATTTTCTAAAGGAATCGATAAGCGATAATTGTTCTTTCTTCGCAATCCAGTGAATGATTCTTATTAATGTAAGTAATTTTTGGCGACAAAACTATTTATATGAAAAGTGCGATTTTCTGCGCTTGCATTGGCTGTTGGAAGGAAAAAAAAAACATTTGATTTGTACATTTTAAATTAGATTTAAGAATCAAAAAACTCAATTCACGCATATTTAAATAGTACCTTTCTTGAGGTGAAGCTAGCAATTTGTTTTTTGTCATTTGTCATTTTTATTATCATATCACATGTTGTGAATTATTATGAACATTATGAATATTACGAAAGGTTGTTATAAGTTTTCGGCGACTTAGAGAAACACAGTAGTACCAGAAACAATATATATGCGCCGAAAAGGTTCTTTTTAAAATTAATTTGTCTGGACAAGAATTAAGACAGATTCTCCCGAAATCTTTTAACGTTGCAACAGATTTGTTTCTTCCGAGATTTAAACTTTTTAACTAAGCATCTATTCGCTTTTTGCACTTTTAAACTTTATATCAAATTAATTTTTAAAACGAAAATGAGTGAAATATTAACTTTTTAGGACGAAATAATATCTATTCGATGGAATCGAGCGAAATAATTCTTTAGTTATGCTGATTTCTTGGATTAATTAAGAGTGAAAGCCATAGGGGAATAACCGATTCGTCAATCGATTCATACTGAGAACATTTTGATTTTGTTATACGATTATTTCTAAAAAATTTGAATGGGAAGTGTACATTAATATTTTAAATAATGAAATTCTTCGAAAGGTCTGATGGCTTTTAATTCGAACTTAAAGCTACAGCAACAGAAACTTTGACAATTTTTTGTCATTTGTCATTTTTATTATCATATCACATGTTGTGAATTATTATGAACATTATGAATATTACGAAAGGTTGTTATAAGTTTTCGGCGACGGCGATTTAACACACAGTATTTTTATGCTCTTAGACTGCTTTCAAGCCTCACTAATTTATTCATGTTAAATGCTGACTATCAGTTTTTTAAAATCTCTAAATAAATGAAAAATTTTGCCAATCTGTGAAAGGTGAATAAATTTTCTAAGGTAAACAGATGACAGGCAAAAGATCGAAAATTGAAATGACTGAAGAAAACACCTTTTAATGGGTAAAAATTTATACAAGCATTTTGTGAATTTTCGTGAAAAATATAAAGTTCAATGCAAATAAAAATAACAATAGAAAGAAAAATTAAAACATTATGACGCCCACATTATGCATTTTTATTAAAATATTGGCATATAAAAGTCACGTCAGCTTTTTAAAATTTTCTATAAATACAAATTCGTGTATTTTGGTTCAAAAAAAAAAACGATATTCTTGTTAAATACAAAATTGAAAGCGGTTCGACCGTTCTTTATTAATATTTATTTGAAAAATTTGATTTTTTTTGAATTTTTTATTGAAATCGAACAGTTGTTAAATGTTTTATGGATCCGCCTTTATTCCTAGGTTTTTGGTGGTTTCTATACTTAATTATTTGCAAATCTGAGAAGATATTCAATGTTATTTGTTCTTTAGTAATCTTAAAATTACAATTTTTATTATTTTCTATTCGCTATTTCAAATAAAATTGGAAAATAAACGTAAATGAGTTTTAATTCTACGATTGTGTATTTCACAATTACTATGTCACACCACTTAACGATCAGTTTATATCTTAACATGCTGAAATATTAAAATTTGTTTGATGTGGACGGTAATAAAAAATTGCGGATCGCATTCTATAGCGAATGCTTTAAACGAATTGGGCGCTAAACAAAAGCGCTTGAGTTAAGCACAACGCTGCCGTGCGTTCTCGAAAATTGTCTACACTTTGTCATCATAGCTTGTGATTTTTCTTCAATTTTTTTCTCTCCAAATTTAAAATTTTAAGTTTTATTGATGATTTTCCAATGCGTCGCTTTTTTTAAAACCAATTTTCTGCTGAAATGTGGAACAGAGTTGGTCGGCTTTTATGAAAAATTGCTTTATCCAATTTAGTTTATCTACACTTTACGAAAAACGGCTCTTAAAAACTAATTGCTGGAAAATATGATGCTGCTGAGATTGAATGTTTTGATTTGGCTTCGTACTCAGTTCTACCGTATTATATCAAAATAGTTTTAGCCATATGAGAAAAAATGTGAAAAAAGAAATATTGCCAAACGCATAACAATCAATTTATTAATGGCTTTCTTCTGGAAATATTGTAGAAACGAGGAATTTTTTCAAAAAAGTGTTCCACTTATTTACTTTTAAAAATTTTTCTTACTACCATCAATATTATTATTATTGTTATTGTTATTAATATTATTATAAGAAAACAGATTTGAACTTATGCTTGGCGATTGAATTAGCGATTTATAAGTCTTTTAACGAAAAAAAATAAATTCAAATGGAAAATTGGTTAATCGATTTCGTAAATGAAAAAAATTTTAGATTTATGACCGTTTTGCTGTTGAATCATCGAGATAAAGCAACGATTTAAATTTTTCATAAGTTTTCAGGTTTCATACTTTTCATTTGCCTCCAATTATTCCTAATTTCCAGAGACTTCGCACAATATGCCTAAAATCAATACAATTTTATTTATTTTTTTAATAATCATTGTAGTAATATTAGCGATTCAAGATGAAGAAATTCGATTTAAAAAAGGTTAGCGAAAAGGGGTGAAGAAATGCAGTAAAATCAACCAACTCCTTATATTATAAACCACAATAAATTTAAATATTTATTATTGCCACATAAAATTTCTCTTCTTAAGACGGCACTTCATTATCTGCTAAACTCAAACTGCTATAAATTTGCTAAACGTTTCAGATTTGGACGAAGGCTCTGGAGAAGAAGGTTCAGGTGAAGAAGAAATGTTATTAAATATCAGTCGAATTTTGGTTTCGCCCGAGCCTATAATGGATGACGATGGTAGCGGGAGCGGTGAATTTTGTAAGTTATGTTTTTTTGAATTTCCATTTAAATGTTGTCTCACCGTTAACCCAGCTGATAATCTTTTAATAATTTTTAATGATATTGAAACTGATTATTATTTAATTATCTTCGGTCAAAAATATGCTAAATTGAAGACTAAAAATATTATTTTATTTATATAAAAGAAGATTCTTTGGACATATTTTGTATTTCAAAATAAACATATAAAATATATCATATAAAATTTTTATATAAAATATAAAGTTTCAGGATATTTTATATGAAGTTGGATGAATTTCTCTTCATCTTCCATATTTCTTTAAAATATTGCACGATTTTACTTCTTGACATTGTTCAACAGTTTCCATGAAATTTTTTTCCCAATAATTTTGTGATAATATGCTTTACGCGAAAATTTTCATAAGTGATTGATCGTATTTTAAAAAAATTCGCTTTTCATTTCATTCATAATATTTATAATAAATATTCGTTACCACTTCAATAGTGAAAAAAGCTTAAAAATTTGAATACTTATTCGAAATGCTGGAATAAAAAAAAAATAATACTTTGATTAAGATTAATGAACTCCCATAGCAAAAAATTGAAAAAAATGAATGAATGAATGAAAAAACAAAAAAAGTAAAAAAAGAATTAAAAAAGATTGAGGATACATATTTCTAAGAGATATCGATAACTAAGATTTAAAAGAAAGAAATTATTCTTAAATAAATAAATTTAAATTTTTCTTAATAACATTTATGCTATGAATGCGTGATGAGTGCATTTGCATATGTTGCTCGCATAGCAGTATATGCACAAGCACACGTACATGCACATTAATATGCACATACACATGCACGTGCTCCAAACTGTTGCTGCAGCCTATCAAAAATTATTTCCTTGAAAACCTTATTCGCGTTCATAAGTATTTAATGAACGTGCATCTTAATCGGTTGCCGCTGGCGATAATATTCATTATATTCGTAGATATGCTTTAAACAAAATGGATTAATTGATAGGAATGAATTATTAGTATTAGCTATTAAGTGCTTTAAAAATGTTTTATATGAACAAAAAATTTTCCATTTACCTTCAAATTAATAGCAATGAATTTCGAATTGAATATTTAATCAATCTTCACAATAATCGAGATTTTCCATTTCATTAATCTTCTCAATAATCGAGAATTTCTATTTTTTCGCTCTAAAAGTTAATAGGTAAAAATTATTTTTACCTTATTTATTTTATTTTTAAAAGCACATTTTAGCGCAATAGT